ATATATATATATATATGAGTGTCAGTATTTCCGGAACACATTTAAACATTATATTACACTTATAAATCATAAAACTTTTAATCAGGATATAAATAAAGAAATAGGAGATTATGTAGCTTTTGAAATAATCCACCAATTTTTAAAATTAAACACTATCTACAGATTTGCATCGAAGCGTTTTTTATGATAGTGACTTTAATGACTGTCAGATATCATTATACTAGACTCAACTATGCCACGTCCCCATTGTACTGGGTTTTTTTTAATTTTTATTTTAGATAATACAGGTTTAATAACAATAATAATTGTGAACATAAACATTGTCATTAGTAGTAATAGATTTTAAAGATTTATTTTGTCTGAATATTTTTAACTTCAAATAGGATTTGACGAATTTTGAGAACGAATTCAGTTGAGTCCCTACAAAGTTGATACAAAGTTTAACAATAGACAATCTATTGTTTTTACCATGAGTTTTTTTATTTTTTCTCCATGCATTCAGTAGAAACTGAACAATGTAATTTAATTATACACCATAACAACTTAAATAAGTTCAAATTGAATATATTTTGCTAAAATATTGAAAAAAATGTCCTCAATTTTTTTATTAGCGAAAATATCTTTAAATTTGCTTATTTTGTAATGACGTAAAATTGAAATTTTTATGTAAAAATAAATTATACTATATCATATTTTAAAATAAATACATTTTTATCAAATTTTAGTTACTTTTCTTTTTATAAACATTTTTTAAAAATTCGACCCAAACCCAAAGAATAAGAGTATTCATGCATATATCACATCATCTCTGTTTTTTATAATTATATTTTAATAAAAAATTATAATTTTAAATAAAAATATTTTATACACATATAATAATTTAAAAAAATGAAATAAATGTCAACATTTACCTTTTTTTTGAGAGGTTTCCTTCATTTACAGGGAATGAGGGATTTTTTTTTCGATTTTTAAGGGTAATGTCCCCAACTAAATACGACTTGTGATCTTTTGATGCATTGTTGAAAGAAATCGGTTCGGTGAGAGCTCATTGTAAAATTAATATCTTCATCAGCTTTGCATATAAGCTAAAACAATTTTACTTTTGTAAATTATATGCTATAACTAATCAGTAATCAAACTTAAAAAAAAATTAAATGTCTAATTATTGCGTTCTAATATATTTCCTATATAGGTTTTTTAAAAACCTATATAGAAAACATGTTACATTCTCAAAAATTAAACATTACATTCTTTAAATCTTATTTTTTACCATAATACAGTGAGGCTATCAAAAACGCTTATCAAAATAAATGTTTTTGTTTTCAATTTATAATGTTTTCAAAAACCTATTTCTTTTAAGCCTAGATTAAACTATAGCTAATTCAATGTATTAAAATGAAAAAAAAAAAATTATTAAAGTAAAAAATCATATGATTTTCTGGAAAGATGTCCAATTTTATAGTATTTCGAATAGTAACTGAGAGCTTATATTATTCTAAATTACTTTAAATAAAACTTATTTATTCTAATATTTCATTTAAAAAAAACAAAACGTTCCAGCAACTTATTATTTGATCAGTAATTCATGAGTAATTTAAAAACTTCAAATAAATCTTAATTATTTATATATTTTTTAAAACTTTTGCTATAACTTTTTTTTAATTAAAGCTTGAGTAATAATTGTTAACTCCATTAATAGTGTTCAGTAAGTAAGGAAATGGGTTTCTATTGTTGTCATTGTTTGTAACAATTAACCCGTTTCCTTACTTACTCAACACCATGTATAGAAAATTCTATCATGATTTAAAAATACTTATTAGGCCAGTCAACGAAGGATTTTCGTACCGTAAAATGAAAAAAATTGGAAAATAAATTTTAGTACTCATATTAAATGTAATGTAACTCAAAAAATATTTGTTTAAATGAAAAAATATAAGATATTTTTTTTGTTTAAAATTGTTTTTTAAATAACTTTTGTACGAAACTTTTTTTTGTAAGTTAATATTTTTTGAGAAAATTAAAATAAGCTCATATTTTTTAACTTTTGCGAGGCTGTAAAGAAAAAAGCTCAAGTCCAATCGATGAGGACTTTTAGTATGTCATTATACATATCTTAATTCAACTTTTTTAAAAAAAAAAATTTGGTTGGGAATTTTTTCCGCTATTCGCTAAAATTACTCCTTCGTTGACTGACCTATATACATAGTTCGTTATATCATTTGTAGTTTCAAAAGCAAAAAAAATAATTAACTCGAAAAATCGTAATTATTGCAATATTTTTTAACTATAATACAATCAGATTCATATTAACCATCAATTTTTGATAACATGATTAATTAAGTTTCTGTAAAAATGTTTAGTGAAAAATTATTCAAACAAGCAACAGATCTTTTAGTAAGTGAAGGATATGCAGCCTTGGGTTATCAGTATGTAATTGTAGATGATTGTTGGTTATCACATAATCGATCAGCTGATGGAAAACTTCAAGCTGACGAAAAAAGATTTCCTAGTGGTATTAAAGCTTTGTCGGATTATGTGAGTTATACATTCTTTATTAATTTTAAAAAAAGTAGAGATGGGATTTTTGACTCACTGATATGAATCAGTTCACTCAAATGAGTTGACTCAGTGATTCAACTACAAATCCCAACTCCCAAATCATCGAATCTTTAAAGGCGCGATTCTGAATCGTGAGTTAAAGAAGTTTGTGGAACGCAAATTTATTTAATTTATTTTTAAATAAATGAGACTAGATTATACATAATACGTCAGTTTTTAGAACAATATTCATTCAAGAATAGACCTGTAATTGCATACACGAAAATTTTGAAATATATGAGAGAAGAGACCTATTTTTCTCACTGCATGCACTAAACATTAAACATTAATAATACCTACATTGTATTTGTATACCTAATTTAACACATAAATAAATCAATGTGTTGATGTTGATAATAAAAAAATAGTGTTTTTAGATTTTAAATTTACTCTTTATTTCAATAATAATTAACAAATTTAAATATAATTAGTAAAAATATTAAACAATTTAATAGAAAAATATTTTATAAATATCAAATAACCAAATGAATTACTTTTTATGTAACTATTGTGGGTATGTATTGAGAATCTAAAATTTTAATAGAAGAAAAAAGGGATCAAACTATTGAATGATTAGAAGTTTTAACTTAAAATTATCTCACTCAACCATCTTATAGGTAAAAATCAGGGTTTGAGGCCCATTATCTCGTAAAATTATTAATTAGTAATAACCAACTACTTTTTCCATAATGTACATACAATTTGAATTTGATTCTCATTTCTTTCGCGCTTTAATTTAATTCCAATATATATATATATAAACAAATAATGAATAAAAAATGATTGATAGCAATATTACATTTCATTTTACAATAGTAGTTAATAAGTAATAATTATTTACAATGAGTAAAATGAATTATTATTCACTTTGTGTAAAACAATAATTCATTGATATTTCATATTTGATATTAATCTAGCTAAGATAATTATTAAGGCGCATTTAGAAGGCACTCTATGAGTATGCCTTGCGAGTTGCGAGTTGTAATTCGCGTTCCACAAACTTCTACAACTCACGAGTCAGAATCGCGCCTTTAAAGATTCGACGATTTGGGAGTTGGGATTTGTAGTTGACTCACTGAGTCAACTCATTTGAGTGAACTGATTCATATCAGAGAGTCAAAAATCCCATCTCTAGTAATATCTACATCTGTGGAATTTACTATTTATTGAAATATCATCATTCAGTTAGAGGATTATTTTTAATTTTATAATTGGAAATTATTAATTTTTAATAATGAAATATGATGTATATATACATAAAAATAAGAGTACAAATATTAAGTGTCACTGGATTGACGGACAGCGCGATACTAAAAATAATACACGGAGTGTTATCGTACTGCAGTGTACATCTAAGATAAAACATATAAACATATATAAACGCAGTCATTGTGACATGTTATTTAACATCTTTGTTAATCCCTACAATACTCTAAATCTGTACCAAAAATTAAAAAATATTAAAAACACTTTTTAGTTTTAAATTAATACTATAAAAATATTTTTTATTTAAAGTAATATAAGCCACAAGTGATTAATTCTTATTATAATAACATCTGTAATTGATTCATTAATATTAAATTTATTTCATACAATCCAAACATTTTTGAAGGATTTAATAAGTAATTTATAATCAGAATTTAATCCATAATCCAAGTTTTCCTCAATTCTTGTACAAAGTGATCCCTTAATACTAGACACTTCAATTTCTTTCAGAATAATCAATTTTTTGTGAAATTTTTGTTTTTGTTAATCACATATGTATCTACACTTATCTGTTATGTATATTTTTTTATCTTCAAATGTGGTTAGCGTTGATAATAGTTAAATTATTCTTGAAATATTTATCTGCTTATTTTTAGTAATTTTTTAGAGCTTTTTGAGTTAAATATTTTTTATACTTTTTTTTAGTGTTAAATTAATATTTTTAGTATAATTTAAATTTTAAATATACGATTTTGTTTAAAAACTATAATTGATAAAATTTAAAAAAAGAGAAGGGGTAGGATATCATTTTTTTTTAATTATAGAATGTAACATACTCTACATTCTATAATGATAAATTTATATTATGTTTTATATTTTTAAAAATACTATATGAATCATATTATTTTAACAACGTAACTTAACTATATTGTTGTATATTATTTCAAAAAAAAATACTACTGTGCAGTTTAATAACATTTTTCTTTTAAAAAGAAAGTTTGTCTTGTTTTGATGGTTTAATTTAACAGGTACATTCCAAAGGATTGAAATTCGGGTTATATCAAGATTGGGGAAAAAAAACTTGTGCTGGCTATCCAGGGGTATTGGGAAACGAACAATTGGATGTTATGACTTTTGCTGAATGGGAGGTTGATTATGTAAAACTTGATGGATGTTATTCTGATGTTAGAGATATGGACGAAGGTATACAAAAATTAATGTTATAAATATCAAATCCATTTAATTAAGTATATTGATCCCATGTATATGTATAATGAACTAAATGTTTATTTTCTAATACTAATTGCGTTTATCTAACATTTTTATTTATATTAGACATTTAAATCCGGTGACGGACTAACCATCCGTCCCGTAGTATAAATGGTAAAGAAACCTCCTCCTTGGGGGAAGGCCGCTATGGTCCTTGATGGGCTGGGAAAAAAAAATCAACGATTTAATTTTTTTTTTTTTTTAATAAAAATGTTATCTATTTTTGGTTTTTAATTAAGGTTACAAAGAATTTAGTCGACTATTAAACAAAACAGGAAGACCTATGGTGTATTCTTGTAGTTGGCCAGCGTATCAAGAAGATAAAGGAATGGTGGTAAGTAAAATGTTATTATATTTTAAGTATAAATTTTAGTAAAAGGTCATATGAAAATATAAAGAATCAAAAAGGTATCATATTTCATCTTTGTTTTTGACGTGGTTCAACTTAATATATTTTTTACTTTAAGTACTAATATTAGCTTTTAACTTTGCTACTATATTTTTGAACTATTCAGTTCATTTCCTATTTCCTCAATTTACACACAAACTTAATCAAAAAATGTATAGTCTTTTAATTGTTATCGGTAAAAATTTAATGCATCTAAGACTAAAAGTGAAATGTATCACTCTTATGCATAGTGGTGCTAGTTTGTTTTAATATTATTTAATCTATCTAGCACTAAACTTATTCATGCGTACTATATCTTCTTTTTGTTTTGAAATGTTGTGCTAATATTATTGTAAAATAATTGTTATTATGTAATACTTTATTCACAGATAAATTATACTGCTTTAGCGACATTTTGTAATCTTTGGCGAAACGCAGGTGACATAGATGATTCTTGGAAGAGTGTAATGGATATTGCTGATTACTTTGCACTAAAACAAGATTTTTGGTCTCAATACGCAGGACCAGGACATTGGAATGATCCTGATATGGTTGGTATTTCACTCAATATTAAGATTTAAAAATTCGTAGTAATCATTAATGCATTTTAATCAATATTTTTGGGTTTGGTTATGTTTTGGTATTGAATTTTTTCATCTATTTATTTTCACGAGAAAGCCACCTTTCCGTCCCCTTCTAAATATGATAGTTTTTAATTTAGTGTTTTTATTACACATTTTTAATGGTCAAAAATATCATTACATTTTTTTTTTTTTTTTGATACGCATAGATTTTGTAGATACCACTATATAGGGTGGGATGACCCTATTTAAGATCACATCCATAAACTGAGAGGGTCGAAGAACTCAGTTGCTGTAAATTTTGTCTTAGCCCTAAAAATATAAAATAAATGTATTGTTTTGTTGCATAAATATATTTTTTGGAGGGTAGAAATAAAATTTACTTTACAATAACATACCAAACAGCAATTTTGAGTAATAATGTTGCAGAAATATTTTTATAACATTGTAAGTCATAATAAAGTTATAACAAACTTATTAAAAAAGATATGCTCCCTGGGATATCTTACAATTATATAGAATATATAATTAATATTTTAGGTTCTAAAATGTTTTGGTAAAATTAAAGCTGCAGCCCACTGACTCCATTTTTGGTTACAATTCTTTGTATCAAGGAGTACATTGAATAATTAGGTATTTTTTTATTAGAAATTAAATTATGAGAGGTAATCTATATCTTCAAATGGCGAAATCTTAAAAATTAAATTTACGTTAATATATAAAAAATAGAGATGTTCTGGTTGCCCAGCATCGTTTTTAAGACTCGGGCTTAAAAACTGAATACCTGGTATAATAAAATACCTATAAACTGTTTATAAGCATTTTATTATGCAGCTTAATGCTACCTAGTGGACGCTCGCACTATTTGGCACTCGACTTTTGTTTATTTACCTATTCATTACTTAAAACATTTCTAATATAAAATGAAATATCCTTTTTTATATAATATTTTTATTAATCCTTTACATGGTTATTCTTTTAACTCTGACAGCTTAATTTCTCTTAAAATGATGATTTCTTTAGGTTTTATTTTCATATATTTTAGATTTATCAATCTATTCAATAATTATTTCTTTAATTCATTCCTTATCATTAGACATTTTTCGGGCGCACTCCTCCTGCCTAGTTAATATATATGTACTAATAAAAATATACTAATACTTTGGGTATAAGCTCTTATCGTAAAAATCCTAGGTTAAGCACTTATATATCGAATATTCAATTTTATAACTAGTTGGTAATTGGTAATTTCGGTTTATCCATTGACCAAAGTAAAGTTCAAATGTCTATTTGGGCTATACTTGCTGCACCTCTTCTAATGTCAAATAAACTGTCAGAAATACGTTCAGAGTTCAAAGACGTTTTACAAAATAGAGAAATTATCAAAATCAACCAAGACGCGCTTGGTATACAAGGAAAACGAGTATTTAGGGTTGGTAAATGTTTATTATTCGACAGTTTTAAATAATTATAAACTCATGAGAGAATTACATTATAGGATAAAGAAATTGATATATGGACACGACCTGTAGAACCGGTTCATAATGGATATTATTCTTACGCAGTCGCGTTTGTAAGTCGTCGATCTGATGGCGCACCTTTTGCATACAAAATTTTATTAAAACATTTAAGATTGGATTCTCCCAATGGTTATACAATAACGGTAATTTTTTTAAATTTAACTTAAAATTTTATTTGTTTATCTTTCAATGAATCAATATTATCGTTCAATTGCGTTGAAATTAATATTGAAAATTAATTACTACAATAATAATAATAATAATAATATTTATAATAATTTCAGAACCTTTTTGATAAAAATACATCTTTCAATAATCAAACAATTTTTGTATCAAAATCTTTTATAAAAGTTCGTGTAAATCCTTCCGGTAAGATTTACCTAAATTAATAAGAATTGTATAAATAAATGAAAATTATACATATAAATATTTAAACAATTATTATTTCTCTTTAGGCGTTGTGTTTCTTCGAGTCAATGCTAATCTTTTCGACTTTCAGTATGATCTATATAATGAAACTATAGTTAATAAGACTACTTTTATTTAATTTAAAAATATTAGTTCAATGTTAATATAAAATTTAGTTTAAAGAAAATTTTTAATTTATTTAATGCACTAGTGCTATTTATAAAAAAATGTAGAAAAACTTGAACTTTTAGTAATAAAACAAAATTAGAATTAATTTTAAAACAAAGTTTTTTTATTTTTTATTGTATTGATATAGCTTATATTGATGATAATAATGTATTTACGGGTGTATTGTTATTTATTATAAATAGATGATATAATTCATTGTCGATGTATATGTACAATTAGTTATCACATGGACTATAATAACGTTTCTGTTTATACATTTCAAAATCACCATATATAATAATATAAAAATCAATTACAAAAATGTGGTTTGAAAACAATAAAAAACTCTCATTAAATTATTTGATTTTGAGTGACCTTTTACTAATTTTCTAATGCTAAATTTTAATACAGAAATAATGCACCTAGAATACGTGTATTTTTATAAAATTTCTAACTTTGTAGGCTTTTAAATACCAAGAAAATTGTTTTAAATATTTGAAATTTCGTTGGAACATAGATTATATACTATACAATATTTCATTAGAAAATCGCTATAATATAATAACTTCTTAATGGTTTTAAATGACGATGTGCGCAACACCCGGTAGTATTCAAGCGGATTCTTGCGGGAAAACATGATTAACATAAAAGACATAAGGGAAATAATAAGAGCAATGATGTCAATTGATAGTTTGGCCATCTTAGCGTATTTTCAACTATAAGCTCTATGGCACTTACGAGCTAGTAGTTTTATATTCGTTTTGTTGTAAAAGTAAAATATCACCTTTGCGATTGTCGCACCATTATGCGCTCAGTATATCGCCGTTGGGACTATATATTTTCCGAGAAACATCAAAATCCCGTTCACATCATACTGTACACGTTGGTCAACTACTTGCATTCAGTTTCAATTGATCCTTTCAATATACAGTATTATCATTCGCCGTAAGTATAATGCTTGTTCATCTTCTTTTAAAGACTTACTCACATTTATAATTTATTATTTGTTTACATTAACACCATTGTGGCAAGAGTATTAAGTGCCCATTCCCTATCCACAAAGGAATATATAAGATTTTATGATTCATGTATAATACATTTAACAATTATATATTGTAAATTCATTCTACATTCATTCATAGCGTCCACTCACCCTATTCCTTTTCCTCGATAAAGCCTGACTTAAGACAAAATATAAACAATGATTGTTAACGAATCCGCTTGAATACACCGGCGTTGCGTTCATTCAAGCTTAAAACGCCAATTTACACAAAAAAGTGTCATTTTTTGAAAGTCATTAAAGTTTCTAATTTCACATATGTAAACATTAAGTTATAATAACATCAATTCTAAAATATTAATTCGTTTAAATTAATATTGAATAATCTGTGTGTTTTTTAACGTTCTGGTTATTTTTAACATTTTTTACATTAAAATAGCCATAAAAATGGGAATATTATAAATAAAAAACAAAAACAAAATTGTTTTAATCTTAATATAGCATAAAGATTAAACTCTGAAAATTTAAGAAAAAGGGAGGTGGTCATGCAACCACTTCTGAACGATTTGACATGAATTGACCTTAAGGGGTTGCTACCATTGCTACGACTAGCCAATTCCATGAAGTTAAATTATTCTGAAATTCGTTATCATACAATTACTTCAAATATATTTTTTATTTATATCTAACAATTACCATGAATTACAAATGAAATACAATTGATCCGAATATTTTTTACCTAGATGCATTATTATTAGAAGTGTCTAAATATTGGAATGCATTTGAGCACGCGCACGATGATGATATACTTATATGATAATGTATCAAAAAAAAAGAGAAAAATTACAATGGGGTGAGAATTTAGTAAAAGTTGTACATGGTATATTTGTGTCATGAAAAAAAAAGTAGACCACTTCCTGTAGAATTTGTATTCGTATCAATTGACGTCCGAAGCACCATAATTGTGGTAATTGTATTATCCTAAAGCGTTTTATAATAATGATTTTAATCACTGACTGTTATTAATTTATACTGTAGTTCATTAAACTGTAGTGGGTTTTTTTAATGATAATACGAATAGTAAAAATTATTTAATATAATCGTAATTTGTCGGTAATAATTTTAGAACAACTTGGAAGTTGTCGACTATTTAAAATATACACTGTAGTGAAATATAAGCTATGATCATATTTTATTAGACTTTTTATCGTCCTGATATGATAATATTCATGTAAATATATATGTATATACAGAGCCGGATTAAGTGTCAAAGCCGCCCTGGAGCAATGTATATATGCTCAATAGGGGGAGGGGGTTACAACACCCAAAACCTCTCCTAGCTATGTCACTGTTGATAAATACTTCTTATCAAGAAGTAATTAAAAATAAATTATATATTTCATGTAATATTATTACGCAAATAACTACTACAAGTTTAAAACGTCAATTTATTGTAATCATTCATATCATTCATATCATACATATACTCACTCATTATAAAGTAAATTAAAGTAAATACAATATAATATAAAGAAGAAACCCCTATAAAAATTGTCTAACAAATATGTTTTCTTCTCGATTTGACTGTAGCAAATTTATTCACTAAATTTATTTCAGAGTCTATACATAGTATTGACAAATCCGACATTTTCTCTTGGCTTAGAGATGATCTCAAAAAATTTTTTATCCTTTTCAAAACTGAAAACGATCGTTCACCGCTGGCATTTTAATGTGGTAAAATACAAATGATTCTTAAAATAATTTCTATGTTGGGAAATGATGATTCTAATGATGATGATATTAAAGTTTTATGCAATGCAATAAATGATTTTTTATTTTCAGCTGAAATATAAGTCACTTTCTAAATCTATATTATAAAATTTAACTAGGTTGTTATTTTTTTTTCGAATGTTATCTGATGATTCATTATCAATATTTAATAAAAATCCAAATTTTTTATATAATTCAGTGTAAATTTACATTCTTCTATTAAGTTCAAAAATTAATTTATCAAAAATCACTAAAAATGTTTCATTTTTCATTTTTTCACATCCCGTAAAAATAACGTCCAAAGTGTTCTTATTATCATGTAATAATACTAGTCTAATTTTTTTCCTCGACGATTCCCAAACAAATGTTTCACAACCACTTCAAAATTTTGCTTCTTCTAAAAATGTGTCGAAAGAATTTCGAATTTCTTGAATATAATTCTTCAATGAAGTATATAATGAAATTACGTTACATAAATCAATATTTTTTAACTGAAGTGCTTTTGAAGTAGCTTCAAAACGTTTTAAAATTGGATACCACATGCATAACATAAATGAAAATTCCAAAGTACAAATTTTTTTATAAATAGATTTTGCTTCGTGACATACAGCTGGTCGTTGATTTTTATCTGTGTATATTACTTCTAGAACATTTAAGATTTCTTTGTACCCGATATTTAAGGATTTGCAAACATCATACCTTGATGACCACCTAGTTTTACATAAATTTTTGATACTTAATGAACCTTCAATTTCATTTAGGTGTCTTTCTAAAAGTTCCCAACGACTTGTTGAGCCAGAAAAAAAATTATAAACCATCTGTATATTGAAAAAAAACCTAGTCCCTTCACTGATAGCTTCAACAGCGTTTGACCCTGCCAAATTCAAAGAGTGCGCAGCACACGGTACAAACATCCAGGCACGTAGCCAGAAAATATTTATTGGAGGGGCCAACAATTTTGGGCCCTTGTATCATTTTCCATAATTTTTTTCCCATGAAAAGCTTGTGGGGGGGCTCCCTCCACTCCTCCTTAGACAGTATCCCATTCTATGAATCTTAAAAGTTCAAAATTATACCATTGGTTGGTTAAAAACAAATTGTTTTCGTATAAAGTATACTAATTATTACAGTATTATAAAAAACCCAGCACAGGGGGGTCGCGGCACAGTGGTGACGTGGCATAGTTGGATCAAGTATAATGATATCTGACAGTGATTAAAATCACTATCAAAAAAAACGCTTCGATGCAAATTTTTAGATAGTGTTTAATTTGGTGGATTATTCCAAAAGCTACATGATCTGCTATTTTCTTATTAATATCCTGAATGAAAAAGGGATTATTAAAAAATAGTATTTCTCATAGAAAAATTATGTTGATCCATACGCTTTTCAATAAGTTATAGCACTATAAAGTTAAAAATATAAAAAATAAAATCGAGAATTTTCACATAATAATAGCATTCGGTAGACATTTTCACCGTGAAGACAAAATAAAGTCCGAAATTTTTTTTTTTATATAATAAAGTATATTACATTAGCTTTAATTTAAGATATATATAAAAGTGTCAGACTTTCCGGAAAGTTTTCAAAAGTCAAGTTGAAAATATTAATTTTTTGTGAAAAAGTTGTCATTTTAAATCTCCCCCTGTGGGCAGGTAAAGGGTTAGATGTATAAAAAAATTATACCTAATGAAAGGTTATGATATCATGCATCTATATAAAAAAAATCTATGTTGTTTTGGTTATTTTTAGAAAAGTTATGCAATTTTAAGTAAAAAAAATTTTAAAAAAATTTCGAAATTTAGCGATTTTTAAATTTGTTACTTTTTGGGTGGATTCCCCCATTTACGAGGAACGAGGGAAATATGTTCAAGTTTTGAGGGTAATGTCTTCGACTAGATACGATTTGTGATCTTTTGACGTATCATTGAAAGACATTGATTTGGTGAGAGCTGAGAAAAAGTGGTAACAGACACAAAAAAAAAAATAAAAAAACACATCATAGTAAAACCAATATAGCTTCGCATCGAAGCTAATAATAGATAATGTGAACATAAACTGATTTAATTTTTAGCTTCGATGCGAAGCGGAGAAGGTATTAATTTTACTATGATGTGTTTTTTTTTTTTTTTATGTCTGTTGCCACTTTTTCTCAGCTCTCACTGGACCGATTTCTTTCAAAAATACGTCAAAAGATCACAAATCGTATCTAGTTGAAGACATTACCCTTAAAAATTGAAAAAAATTCCCTCGTTCCCCGCAAATGGGGGAAATATCCAAAAAAATTACAAATTTAAAAATCGCTAATTTTCGAAATTTTTTCACTTTTTTTTCTTAAAACTTCCATAACTTTTTGAAAAATCAACAAATCAACATAATTTTTTTTTATACTAAAACCTTAGATATTTNCATAGTTGGGTCCAGTATAGATGATATCTGACAGTGATTAAAATCACTATCATAAAAAACGCTTCGATGCAAATCTGTAGATAGTGTTTAATTAAAAAAAAAAATTTTTGTTAAAATAGCATATTTTTGGATACGGAAGCCATTTGCGCATAGAAGATAGGTCGTCGGGACAAATTTTTTTTTATTTTATAGTACATAAAATAAGCTTTAATTTGATATATGTCTGAAGGACGCAGTATTTCCGGAACATTTTCAAAAATTAAGTTGAAAAAGTTATTTTTTGTAAAAAAAGTTGCTATTTTAAATCTCCCCAAATGAGAACGTTAAGTGATAGATTTTCAAAAAAATGATATCAAATGAAAGGGAAATATCTAAGGTTTTAGTATAAAAAAAAATTATGTTGATGTGTTGATTTTTCAAAAAGTTACGGAAGTTTTATGAATTAGAAATTAGTGAATTTTAAATTTGTAATTTTTTTGGATATTTCCCCCATTTGCGTGGAACGAGGGAATTTTTTTCAATTTTTAAGGGTAATGTCTCCAACTAGATACAATTTGTGATCTTTTGACGTACTTTTGAAAGAAATCGGTCTAGAGAGAGCTGAGAAAAAGTGGCAACAGACGTAAAAAAAAAAAAACACATCATAGTAAAATTAATACCTTCTCCGCTTCGCATCGAAGCTAAAAAACAGATTAAAGATAAGATTTATCAAAAAAATTTTCATAGAGTATTACTCTATCGAATTTTGTAATCAACAAGTTTCTAATCAATGCAGATACTTGGTAGTTTTTTATCATTTGTTGGACCAAAGTTAAAAAAAATTTACCTACAACCACGTTTGAAGTAACTGCTATTCCATTTATTATTACGTCCAGAACGTTATCTTTTTCAAATAACGTTTTCTATGAATATAAAAATGTAAATACAGCCATAAGAATAACTGTATTACTTAATAGAAATCACAAATTAATAATAATTTCAATGTATATAAGGGCTAGTACNTCGGTGTTACTGATAAGCTACACATTGTAGTAATTAGATGAGGAAGTATTGAATTACGTCGATTTTAGTATAATATAAGCTTTACAATAGTAGTAAGCAATTTTTGAACTCTTAAGCAATATAATAATTCCATATAAAAGGGAAATGTAGGGTAAGCAAATTAATAATGGTGGGAAAAAGAATATAAAAGGAAAACATGAAAAGTATAGGTGAACGATACTGGGCGAGACGAGACTGGACGTTTTGTCGAAGAAACGTCGAGTTACGAGTTAGGTCGTTGGTGTAAGAATAACTTTATATTTTTGTAAGATTTAATTAATTTTTGTGTTAAATTTTTATATTATATTTGACTTTGTGTTTAATTTGTTTCTTAAATAAAATATCTATTTAAAAATTTGGGCTTAGCGCAAATATTTTATATTCACCGTGTTCTTAGAATTTGTGTGTGTGTGTGGGGCTAGAGTCTAGGTTGGACTGCTGGTCCTTTAGTCAATCTTAATAATTAGTGTACGAGCTGGCTAGTTTTTGGGCTTAACCGTCCTTTAGTGGGTATAGTAAAAAAGGTAGTTGTGCTGGTGGCTGACAAGGAGACACCTTCAGTCTGCTACTTTTGAGCTAGACTGTGCTGACGGGTCTAAACTCTACCCCTTTAGTAGTCCACTAATTAGAGAAATTGGAGCTGATCAGTTAATCCAACGGGAGGAGTCGAGAAGAGCTCGAACGACGAACTCGTCGTCAATATATATATATATATAAACATTAATTAATTTGTGTCTACGTTGGGTACTACCGACGTACGACATACCTTATTGATAATTCGTAAAAATAATTGAATTTTAAATTTGGGGGGGCCAGGCCCACCCAGGCCACCCCATGTCTACGTGCCTGCAAACAACGCTTGTTCAGATATTTGTTTAATACGATCATGTAATCCATTATAAATGCCTGACATATTTGTCGTGTTATCATATAACTGTCCCCTACAATTTTTAAAATTGATATCTAAATCTGTAAAACGTTCAAGTAAAGCAGTTTCCATGTCCTCACTTTTGTGACCGACTGATTTAAGGAATCCTACAAATCTTTCAACGACAGAACTATTATCTGTCATATACCTTATAATAATGGTCAATTGGTCTATTTTAGTATTATCCAGGAGTCGAATCAACAATGATTGAAAAGTATTTAAATTTTTTGATTTGAATTACAATGTTATCAATAACTGTTTTGCTCATTAATGATATAAATTCATCACATATTGTAGATGACAAGTAAGACACATTGTCACGGCCTTTATTTCCATGATTTGCAAGGAATGAATCGAATTTAGAAATGATCTCTAAGCATCCTAGATAATTTCCATTATGTTTTGAACCAAAATTTTTATCTTCTCCACGAAAAGCAAGCCCTCTTTCTGATAAAAATTGTATTGTACACACTATGCGATTTATTAAATTTTTCCAATAATTAATTTCGTTATTTACCTGTTCTTGCAAAGCATTATCTATAACCTCAGTATTTTTAGTGGTTCTTAAAAACCATTTACGGATACATGTATTATGAGATACATTTTTTTCCTTTTTCTGCAACCAAATGGTGACACTTTTGCCAATTAGTAAATCCTACAGATGGATCACTAATTATCTGTTTTTTAGTTGCAAAAATAAGGCATTGAAAACAAAACAAAGCATTCTTAGATTTTAGTATATATATATATATACTAGAAATCGTATGCAATACAACAATTGTTATATTAATTGTTATATCACTTTCATCGATACCACAATTATAAATAATAAACTAATAACTGAAGACGCTATCTAGTATAATAATATTTCATTTACATAGTTTCCATATGTTTTGACAACGAATAGACTTTAAATTGAGCCCAATCAAAAATAGTACGTTACAAAACCGGTTAATATCGAAGATAAACGTTAAATAAAACACCAAACCAACATTGAATTAATTTATTTGACTCTCTTCGATGTCCGATTACAAATGTACTATTAAACGTATATATAGTTGTATTAAATGAACGTATAAACTGACGATATTATTAAGTGATATATTTATTTTAAAACAGAACTACCAAGAAAAACGTTAAAGTATGTATATATTCAACTCAATGTTTAAATAAATAATTAACTTATATAAAATTATTTTATACTTAAAAATCATGCTTATCAAATGAAAAAAAAACAATTTATTGAATTGATTAATGAATAATTTATTTTCCAGTCCGTACTTGACTAAGAATTATTTACAAATTCAATGAATCTTAGTTATCTCTATCGACGAATATACATATTTTTTAATATAATGTAAATCTGTGTTTAAAATTTCCATTATATAATACGATAATGTATATATATTAATATATTTTAGAGAGGAAAATGTTTTACAAAAACTTAGTGTGGCTTTGTTTGATATTTGCTGAAAATTTACAAAAAATTTCTTGTCTTAATAATGGCTTAGCTCTCACGCCACCAATGGGATGGCTCGCTTGGCAGCGTTATAGATGTATCACAGATTGCGAAACGTATCCAGACGAGTGTGTAAGGTTAGTTACATAATAACAATTTGTAAGGATTGAAATTAATTTTAATTACTGAAACATGTAAAGACACTTATAAAAATATAAGTGGCATAATATTTTTTTCGTGAAAAATGTTTAAAATCAGTTAGGAAACTCAAACTGTGTTCTGGTATAAATACTTGTTTTCAAAAATATTTCACCAATTACTGACGCAGATTAACATCGAAGCGTTTTATGATAATCATGTTATGTTCTGTTAAATATATAATGACTCTTTTAAAATTAGTGATATTTTTTTTTTTAAAAAAATAATTATTGGTATTATTTAGTTTTATATATTTCTTGATTTATCAGTTATAATTACTTTTTTAAATTCATCCGTTATATCGCATACCTAAACATTTTTAACTCCTAGGCAGAAAGAGAAGTACACCTGAAAAATGTCTAATGATAAATATAGCATTCCCGTATCTAAACTCATGTCTATATTTTTAAATGGTAATAACTTCCGAAATAATGAGTCAAAAATTGTTATCAACCAGTTATTTTCTTAACTAGGTAATTTATTATTTTATAGTTAGTTAAATTGTATGTTGCCGTTAAAAAAACTTAAGTTGACACCCTTGTAAAGTATAAGGAATGAATTAAAGAAATAATTAATGATTGATAAATTTAAAATATATGAAAATGAAACATATAAAAAAATTATTATTTTAAGAGAAGTTGAGCGGTTAGTATTGAAAGAATCGTCTTGTTTATTTGACAGTAATAACATCAATATAATATAAAGTTAATATCAATGTAATTTAAGATCATCACTATACTAATCCCGTATAACTGGTTTTTTTATTTTTCATTAAAAAAATGACTGAAAAAAAATTCTAATATAAAAATAATGAATTCGACAAGATTAGTCAGCAGGTTTTTCATTTACTCCTTCAGACCAATTATACGACCTCTTCTGAATTTAATTTGAATGGCTAAGAGAAAAATAATTTTTCAAAAAAAAGTTCCCTAAACCCTTGAAGGTCTGAATTTATCAATTCTAAAATTTGGATGACAATATTAACAAAAGTACATATTGTTGTCGGTGTAACAAATTACCGGTTATTTTTGTAAATTTTAAATCTTTATTACCATTATTAAATATAAACATTAAATAACGCCTCTGTTTACAAGGGCGGATAAGCTTACTGGAAAACCGAGAATTCTCTGAAAGAATGAACTGTTGAACATCTCAACATCCCAACCCAACTGTTAAACTCCCTCGAAAACAAATACGTAACCATTTCAACTGGAAAATAATGATGTTAAAATAAAAATAATTTTCCCTTTATGCAAAATTATGACATATAGAATGATAAATATATATTTTGAAATTTTTTAAGGAAGGAAGTTCATACTTAATAAGCAAATATTAATATTAATATTAATAAAATTACATAGTTTAGAAACTATGTTAACAGGTTAAGTTCATTTCTAATTTTATGAAAATTCTCCTCCTCAAGAATAAATTCTAAAAATTCCTCCCCAGTTCACTGTTATTGAGGATTTTGCTAAATAAGTATTTCAATTAGCGGAAGAATAAGTATTTTGTTATTTTTCCTAAAATCGTGTCCTAGAGATTTTTTTTTTATTAAAATTTCATAGTTAGAAAATAATTGTTTAAAAAAATTACTATAAACCATTATTTATAACATGAGTTGATAGGTCTTGTGATATTTACGTTAAAAGAAATATCACGGGGGACTTCTTGTAGGCACGAATCAATTTTATTTTACCAGTTAATAAGGCACATCTATTTTCACTAGATATTACGTACGCCATAATTTTATACGTTAAAATATACTCTATCAAAAATCAAAATTAATTAAATAAAACCCAGCACAGTGGGGTAGTGACAGTTGAGTCCAGTATAGACGATATCTGACAGTAATTAAAATCACTATCATAAAAAACGCTTCAATGCAAATCTGTAGATAGTGTTTAAATTAAAAAAAAAAATTTGTCAAAAAAGTAGGTCAAGTGAGAGCTCAGAAAATAAATGATAGCTACAAAAAAAAAAACACATAGTAAAATAATATTAATATGAATTTCTTCTCACAAGAGGAGACTATAATAATGGGATCCTTGATATTATTTGAAGTTATTAAATCTAACAATATAATAAAATCTGACAAAATAAAATCCGAAATTTTTTTTGTTAATATTAAAGTATATTACATAAGCTTTAATTTAAGATATATATAAAAGTGTCAGTATTTCCGGAACACTTTTAAAAATTAAGTTGAAAAAGTTCTACTTTCTATATGCATTTTTATGTTTTGAACCCCCCCTGTATTAAGGGAAATGATCCGATTTAAAAAAAAAGTATGTCGAATGAAAGAAGTATATAAATATTATTTCTTATAAAAAAATTGTATTTATCCATACATTTTTCAAAAAGTTATAACATTTTAAAGTTAAAAATGTAAAACATAAAATCGAAAATTTTAACACAAAAATAGCATACGGTAGCTATTTTCACCGTGAAGACAAAATAAAGTCCCAAATTTTTTTTTTCCATAATAAAGTATATTACATAATCTTTAATTTAAGATATATATATAAGTGTTAGTANTAATTAAGTATATTACATTATCATTAATTTAAGATATATATATAAGTGTTAGTATTTCCGAAACACTTTCAAAAGTTAATTTTTTGTGAAAAAGTTGTCATTTTGAATCCCCCCTGTGGGCTGGTAAAGGATTAAATTTATAAAAAAAATATACCAAATGATAGGTAAAGACATAAAGAATCTATAAAAAAAAATTATATTGAGTTGGTCATTTTTAAAAAAATTATGGCAATTTTAAGTAAAAAACCCCAGCACACGGGGTTCGCGGCACAGTGGTGACGTGGCATAGTTGGATCAAGTATTTAATTTTAAAAATTGGTAAATTATTCCAAAAGCTACATAATCTGCTATTTTCTAATTAATATCCTGAATGAAAAAGGGATTATTAAAAATATTATTTCTCATAAAAAAATTGTGTTGATCTATACACTTTTCAATAAATTATAACATTATAAAGTTAAAAATGAAAAAATAAAATCAAGAATTTTCACACGAAAATAGCATACGGTAGCTATTTTCATCGTGAAGACAAAATAAAGTCCGAAATTTTTTTTTTCATAATTAAGTATATTACATTATCTTTAATTTAAGATATATATAAAAGTGTTAGTATTTCCGAAACACTTTCAAAAGTTAAGTTGAAAAAGTTAATTTTTTGTGAAAAAGTTGTCATTTTGAATACCCTCTGTGGGCTGGTAAAGGGTTAAATTTATAAAATAATATTCCAAATGATAGGTAAAGACATCAAACATCTATAACAAAAATTGTATTGAGTTCGTCATTTTTAAAAAAGTTATGGCAGTTTTAAGTAAAATAAATTGAAAAAATTTCGAAAATTAGTGAATTTTAAAATTGTAATTTTTTTGGAGGTTTCCCCCATTTACGAGGAACTAGGTAATTTTTTTCAATTTTTGAAGATAATGTGTTCGACTAGATACGATTTGTGATCTTTTGACGTATCGTTGAAAGAAATCGGTTCCGTGAGAGCTGAGGAAACGTGGTAACAGACACAAAAAAAAAAACAATATCATAGTAAATTAATACCTCCTCAGGTTCGCATCTAAGCTAAAGTGTTAGTTAATTTCTGTTCATTTTTCAGTATAGGCGTAATTTGAACAAAAAGTTGGGTAATCTAACTTAATTTTACTATCTTTAAAAATACTTCTATATAAATTTCTATGAAATTTTTGTTATTTTAGCATGAGGTTATGGACATAATTTGGAGGGCTAAGCCCCTTTAGATCCCAGATTACGAGTATTTTTCTTTTTTTTGGATAACAAAACAAACCCAAAATTTCAATACATTTTTACAAAATTATACGCTTACATATTAGCAAAATGAAATATTTTTCATCGAATGGACTTTATTAATTGGTACTACCCTAATAGGGTATAAAACTATACCGGAATATTAAAATTCAAAAATGAATTACTATTTATTCTTGTACCCTTCATACGTATGTATTGTAAAAATAAATAAAGCTGAAAACGTATTAATTTTACTATGATGTTTTTTTGTGTCTGTAACCACTTTTTCTCAACTCTCGCCGAACCGATTTCTTTCAATAATACGTCAAAAGATCACAAATCGTATCTAGTCGAAGACATTACCCTCAAAAATTGAAAACATTTCCCTATTTCACCGTAAATGAGGGAAATCTCAAATTCCAAATTTAAAAATTTTATCAATATTTTTTATTTATATTTATATTAATTACTATAAATATCACTGTTGCGCCATGACACTCCTAAATTAACGGTTGGCGTCAATAGCTTATAAGGATCATGTGGACCGATAATACTTAACCTAAAATAAAGTACATAATCTTTAAATAATTAATTTATATATTTAAAACGCAATTGTCGCCTTATGAGCTAAGGGATATAACAAATACTCTCTCTGGTGTTTGGATACTCCTTGATGTTTAGCTGAGCTGCCTCTTTATGGATCACATGACCTGTACATTGACTTGGTTATCTGAGCTGATATTCTCTATTTCATTGAATCCTCTGCATAGGACAGCAGTGCATTTAAACTGTGGAATAGTGTCTACATTGTTCATAGCAACAATGTGGTTTTGTTTGAGAGCACAATTATGAACAGAGCACTGTATGAGCTTACATAAAAACCATCTACGGTGTGTAGAAGTACGTAGAGCACGTTAAACAATGCATGAGCTTGCAGGTTAGAGAGAACACTCACATATTTAAAAACCACAGAAACGTTAAATTGTACTGACAACAGCAACAGCAGCTGATAACAACGGTACAAGTGGGTATTGCACCATATCCAGTATTACCAACTAGAGGTCAACATATACTAAATTGATAACTCTTTTATGGGGTTCAAACATACTCCCCCTTGGAAGTCCCAGTTAGAGTTACAACAGTATTTGAGCTTGGACCATGATTCACTTGTAGAGACAGTGGAGGTTGTTGAGAAGTCTTCACACACCAGATGAGAGTTTCAGGGGGGGAATACAAACATTATATAATATTAAAGACTGCAACATACAAAAAAAAACAATATTAAAAAAATCATAATAGGAACAATTTAATATTTCAACATTTTATCTTATAGGAACTTAAGTTACATATCAGACTCTGTTTTTCACAAACAATTAACATCAACATAATTAATAAATAAACTGTATAACAACCAAAATATAGTTAACAATTTAAATAATTAGTAAACAATTCAATCTAGCAAGTAAAATCATATAACATAAATACTTAACAAAGTAGCTATATAAAACATAATGACCTAAATAACAATTTATTAAACATATCAGACAAACCATTATGTAGTAGCATCACGCAATGGTAGCTCTTATAAATTTCTCTCTCTATTGTAATAAGTAAAAAAATCAATAAATCAATTAATAAGTTTCCTTTGTAAAGTGTAAGGCACAAGGAAAAAAAGGAATATCTAAGAATAATTAGGACTATATAGAGTAAGTATTTAACTAGGAGCTTAGTTAAATATAAAGCAAAAGGTCTTATAAACACCTTTTTTTTTTTAATGCTAATTAAGCTAAATCAAAATTAAAATAAAGATTTCGAATTTAATTGGTAGGTAATAAAACTAATTTAATTACTGGCCTAACAATTGCAACAGCAACAGCAGCTGATAACAACGGTACAAGTGGGTATTGCACCATATCCAGTATTACCAACTAGAGGTCAACATATACTAAATTGATAACTCTTTTATGGGGCTCAAACAATTATTTATTAATATATTACACTTATAAAACATAAATCTTGTAATCAGGATATATATAAGGAAATAGGAGATAATGTAGCTTTATAGTATAGGTGTAGCTCAAAAATTGAAAACATTTCCCTCGTTCCTCGTTTAAAGGTGGAAATCTCCCAATCAAAAATTTAAAAAACGCTAATTTCGAAAAATTTTTTACTTAAAAATGCCATACATTTTTTAAAAATAATGAAATCATTATAATTTTTTTTTTATAGATGTATGTTGTCTTTACCTTTCATTTAGTATATTTTTTTTATAAGTCTGACCCTTTACCAGCCCACACAGGAGATTCAAAATGACTACTTTTTCACAAAAATTAACTTATTCTACTTAACTTTTGAAAGTGTTCCGCAAAGTCTGACACTTTTATATATAAATATATATATATATTAAATTAAAACTTATGTAATAAAATTTATTATTGAAAAAAAATATCAGACATTATTTTGTCTTCACGATGAAAATTTTTAACTTTATATTTATATAACTTTTTGAAAAATGTATATGTATAAAAATGACATACTTTTTTTTTAAATAAAACCATTTTCCTTTATATATTTACTTATAAATCACAAAACTTGTAATCAGGATATAAATAAAGAAATAGGAGATCATGTAGCTTTTGGAATAATCAACCAATTTTTTAAAATTAAACTCTATCTACAGATTTGCATAGAAACGTTTTTTATGATAGTGATTTTAATCACTGTCAGATATCATTATACTTGGCCCAACTATGTCACGTCACCACTCTGCCGCGACTTCTCTATGCTGGGTTTGTTATTTTGGCACCCTTGGTAAAGGTGACATCATCTAATATTTATCGGTTAATAAAATATTACCTACTTACTTCCCAAAAAATAATTATCAGATTGGTATTTTTAATTAAATAAATATTCTCTTTGCGCTGTCTTAAAAGATTCAAGAACAAATATTCGTACATCAAATGGTGGCAACAAATATTACAAAAATAAACATTAATAAGTTTTCGCATCAAGTCAACAATGTATGAATAATGTTTTAAATTTAAATTAAAAAAGAAAACTGTTATCTTTTAGTGAAAAATTATTCATGGAAGCAGCGGATTTACTAGTAAAAGAAGGGTATGCTGACGCAGGCTACAACTTTCTAATTGTAGATGATTGCTGGTTAGCAAAAAATAGATCAGCAGATGGAAAACTGCAACCCGATGAAAAGAGATTTCCTAGCGGTATTAAAGCTTTATCAGACTATGTGAGTACTATTTATCACAAAATATCATAAAAATTAAAAAATTTATTATTTGGTATACTGAGTAAATATGTATTTTTATTTCTAATAGCCAGGGTCGTAATGTAAACTCATCTAAAAATGAATATAAATTATTTAAGGAAAAGAGACAGAAATATTTATTAGAAAAAAACTAGCTAAATCCCTTAGTTAACTTTTTCCTAATATATCAAAGCATAAAAAAAAATTATTATTGTTATCACGAACTATAACAAAGTAAACATGTTCGATGGGATAAGGAATGTGATCAGTTATTGTTATAGAAATTCTGTAGAAAAGGGAATATTCCTAGCTATATTCAACTCTTTCGACAAACATGTATTCAGAATACAAAATGTTTAAAACTAAGTGGGGATTTGGAAAAATAAATTTAAAATAGATGGCGCAGTTAAAATTTTCCCTTTTACTGGATATAATAATAAAACTAGATCGCCTGATAAGGCCTCGTGACCAATCCATTTTATCTAGTTATTTATTTAGTCATATTAACTATCTGTATGAGATTAGAAGTAAATTAGATTAATATTTATATAACTAATAATACAATATAAACAATTTAATAATTTAATAATTAGTATTAGAACAAAAAATAGGTAAAGAGAAAGGGGTATTAAAAATAAAGAATTATCCTTTTTCTCGGGCTGTGTTGTTCGAGGGTATATGTTTGTTAGCATTTATTTGCAAGCTGAGTTTGAATGTTCTTACCTGAGTTTTAACTATCCTTCAGACGTGCAGAATAGTGATAAAAAAAGAACGCATAACCAAACAGTTGTTGATGAAAAAAATAATATAATTAATGTAACTTCACATATATTTATATAAAACAATTGTAATAATCACGCAGTTTACGGAAAGATATTATTCTTAATTAATAAACCCAATCTTAAATATTAATAAATACACTTATAATTATTCTGCGGTGTTAAATTAATTTAGTTCGCGAGAACCAGACGATGAAAGCGACGTGTTCGTATATCGGTTTTATCGAAACAGCACGAGTGCGTCATCCCTGGGTCTCTCCTAATATTCTCCTTATTACCCCTTCCAAAGACGCACATATTCGTCGTCCGTTTTTCATTTACTTCACATTTTTTAGGAATTTCATAATTTTGTATATACATTAAAAAAGGTTATTTGACTGAAAATAATAAATGGAAACATTTGATTTTTGAAGGGTGAATGTGCGGTGAAAAAGAAGAGCAGATGACAATGGCGTGATTGTGTCAACTATGTGTTAGATGTGATTAAGAACAGAAAATATTGATTGTGTATAGTATTTGTTGTGAGAAGTATTGTGTAATAGGATGGAATATTTATTTGTGTTGAGAGATAAAAGAGAAGAGAAAGAAATAGTGTTTTTAAGTATAAGGCCTATTATAAGAAAACCAAGCACAGGGGGGTCGCGGCATAGTGATGACGTGCCATAGTTGGATCAAGTATAATGATATCTGACAATGATTAAAATATTTAAAGTTAAAAATATTCAGACAAAATAAATCTTTAAAATCTATTACTACTAATGACTATGTTTTTGTTCATAATTATTATTGTTATTAAACCCCTATCAGGCACGTAGACATGGGTGGGCCTGGCCCCCCTTAGATTTAATGTGGCCCAGAGCCGGCACCCCCCAAATTTAAAATTCAATTATTTTTACGAATTATCAATAACGTACTAGCCCTTATATAAATTGAAATTAATTATTAATTTGTGATTTCTATTGAGTAATACAGTTATTATTATGACTGTATTTACATTTTTATATTCATAGAAAACGTTATTTGAAAAAGATAACGTTCTGGACGTAATAATAAATGGAATAGCAGTTACTTCAAACGTGTTTGTAGGTAAATTTTTTTTAACTTTGGTCCAACAAATGATAAAAAACTACCAAGTATCTGCATTGATTAGAAACTTGTTGATTACAAAATTCGATAGAGTAATACTCTATGAAAATTTTTTTGATAAATCTTATCTTTAATCTTATTTTTAGCTTTGATATGAAGCTGGGAAAATATTAATTTTACTATGATGTGTTTTTTTTTTTTTACGTCTGTTGCCACTTTTTCTCAGCTCTCTCTAGACCGATTTCTTTCAAAAGTACGTCAAAAGATCACAAATTGTATCTAGTTGGAGACATTACCCTTAAAAATTGAAAAAAATTCCCTCGTTCTACGCAAATGGGGGAAATATCCAAAAAAATTACAAATTTAAAATTCACTAATTTCTAATTCATAAAACTTCCGTAACTTTTTGAAAAATCAACACATCAACATAATTTTTTTTTATAATAAAACCTTAGATATTTCCCTTTCATTTGATATCATTTTTTTGAAAATCTATCACTTAACGTTCTCATTTGGGGAGATTTAAATAGCAACTTTTTTTACAAAAAATAACTTTTTCAACTTAATTTTTGAAAATGTTCCGGAAATACTGCGTCCTTCAGACATATATCAAATTAAAGCTTATTTTATGTACTACAAAATGAAAAAAAAAAATTTGTCCCGACACTTTTTTTTCTACATTTAAACGGCTGCCGTAGTTAAAAAAACACTATTTTTGTGTTAAAATTTTCGATTTTCGATTTTAAATTTTCAACTTAAAAATGCTATAACTTTTTGAAAAATGTATATATCAGCACAAATTTTTTTTTTCTAAATACATTATAAGTACATCTTTCATTTGACATACTTTTTATTAAAATTGGACAATTTCCCCTTATATAGGGGGCGTTCAAAACTTAAAATATTGTAAAAAACATAGATCTTTTTCAACTGAACTTTTGAAAATGTTCCGGAAATACTGCGTCCTTTAAACATATATCAAATCAAAGGTTATGTTATATACTATCAAATGAAAAAAAAAAATTTGTCCCGACATCTTATCTTCTATGTGCAAATGGCTGTCGAAAATTTAAAAAAAAATGTAATGTTTGCGATAAAAATTACATTTTATCGGGATGTTTTTTGTACTTAAAACTGCCATAACTTTTTCAAAAATGAACAAATAAAAATAATATTTTTTTGTATTGAAACCTTAGATATTTCCCTTTCATTTGATATCATTTTTTTGAAAATCTATCACTTAACGTTCTCATTTGGGGAGATTTAAATAGCAACTTTTTTTACAAAAAATAACTTTTTCAACTTAATTTTTGAAAATGTTCCGGAAATACTGCGTCCTTTAAACATATATAAAATTAAAGCTTATTTTATGTACTACAAAATGAAAAAAAAAAATTTGTCCCGACGATCTATCTTCTATACGCAAATGGCTACCATATTGAAAAATATACTATTTTTGTATGATAATTATGGGTTTTGTATTTTATTTTAATAGAAGTTGATGTTGCTTTTGCAATTATCCATCAATTTTTTAAAATTAAACACTATCTACAGATTTGCATCGAAGCGTTTCTTATGATAGTGATTTTAATCACTGTCAGATTTAAATCTATCTGGACCCAACTATGCAATGTCTCCACTATGCCGCGACCCCACTGTGCTACCGTTTATTTTATTATGTTTTTGTTATTAGTATTTAGGTATAAATTATTTTTTCTTAATAGCTTAAATGTTAAAAAATTAAATCAGTTTATGTTCACATCATCTATTATTAGCTTCGATGCGAAGCTGAGAAGGTATTGGTTTTACTATGATGTGTTTTTTTATTTTAGCTTCGATGCGAAGCGGAGAAGGTATTAATTTTACTATGATGTGTTTTTTTTTTTTTTTATGTCTGTTGCCACTTTTTCTCAGCTCTCACTGGACCAATTTCTTTCAAAAATACGTCAAAAGATCACAAATCGTATCTAGTTGAAGACATTACCCTTAAAAATTGAAAAAAATTCCCTCGTTTCCCGCAAACGGGGGAAATATCCAAAAAAATTACAAATTTAAAAATCGCTAATTTTCGAAATTTTTTCATTTTTTTTTTCTAAAACTTCTATAACTTTTTGAAAAATCAACAAATCAAAATAATTTTTTTTTATACTAAAACCTTAGATATTTACCTTTCATTTGATATCATTTTTTTGAAAATCTATCACTTAACCTGCTCATTGGGGGGGATTTAAAATGGCAACTTTTTTACAAAAATTAATTTTTTCAACTTAATTTTTGAAAATGTTCCGGAAATACTGCGTCCTTTAAACATATATCAAATTAAAGCTTATTTTATGTACTACAAAATGAAAAAAAAAAATTTGTCCCGACACTTTTTTTTCTACATTTAAACGGCTGCCGTAGTTAAAAAAACACTATTTTTGTGTTAAAATTTTCGATTTTCGATTTTAAATTTTCAACTTAAAAATGCTATAACTTTTTGAAAAATGTATATATCAGCACAAATTTTTTTTTTCTAAATACATTATAAGTACATCTTTCATTTGACATACTTTTTATTAAAATTGGACAATTTCCCCTTATATAGGGGGCGTTCAAAACTTAAAATATTGTAAAAAACATAGATCTTTTTCAACTGAACTTTTGAAAATGTTCCGGAAATACTGCGTCCTTTAAACATATATCAAATCAAAGGTTATGTTATATACTATCAAATGAAAAAAAAAAATTTGTCCCGACATCTTATCTTCTATGTGCAAATGGCTGTCGAAAATTTAAAAAAAAGTGTAATGTTTGCGTTAAAAATTACATTTTATCGGGATGTTTTTTGTACTTAAAACTGCCATAACTTTTTCAAAAATGAACAAATAAAAATAATATTTTTTTGTATTGAAACCTTAGATATTTCCCTTTCATTTGATATAATTTTTTTTGAAAATCTAACACTTATTCTGCTCACTGGGAGGATTTAAAATAGTAACTTTTTTACAAAAAATAACTTTTTCAACTTAATTTTTGAAAATGTTCCGGAAATACTGCGTCCTTTAAACATATATAAAATTAAAGCTTATTTTATGTACTACAAAATGAAAAAAAAAAATTTGTCCCGACATCTTATCTTCTATGTGCAAATGGCTGTCGAAAATTTTAAAAAAAATGTAATGTTTGTGTTAAAAATTACATTTTATCGGCANAAAAAAAAATGTAATGTTTGCGATAAAAATTACATTTTATCGGGATGTTTTTTGTACTTAAAACTGCCATAACTTTTTCAAAAATGAACAAATAAAAATAATATTTTTTTGTATTGAAACCTTAGATATTTCCCTTTCATTTGATATAATTTTTTTTGAAAATCTAACACTTATTCTGCTCACTGGGAGGATTTAAAATAGTAACTTTTTTACAAAAAATAACTTTTTCAACTTAATTTTTGAAAATGTTCCGGAAATACTGCGTCCTTTAAACATATATAAAATTAAAGCTTATTTTATGTACTATAAAATGAAAAAAAAAAATTTGTCCCGACGATCTATCTTCTATACGCAAATGGCTACCATATTGAAAAATATACTATTTTTGTATGATAATTATGGGTTTTGTATTTTATTTTAATAGAAGTTGATGTTGCTTTTGGAATAATCTACCAATTTCTTAAAATTAAACATTATCTACAGATTTGCATCGAAGCGTTTCTTATGATGGTGATTTTAATCACTGTCAGATATTATCTATTTTTGTCCCAACTATGCCACGACCTCACTGTGCTACAGTTTTTTTTTTTTAGTCTGTTGCTACTTTATCTCAGCTTTTACTGGACCGATATACTGATCGTGTCTATTTGTAGATATTACCCATTAAAATTGAAAAAATATTCCTTGTTCTCATAAGAGGGGAATCTTTCCAAAAACATAACGGTTTTTAAAATCATATATCAATCGTCATCATTTCTTTAGCCTTCATCCCAACTATTCAAGGTCGGCTCGATATGACGCAACTTTATTACGACTGAGAAAAAGATCTTCATATATCAATATGATTAGAAGATTGAATAAAATATATAAAGTTAAAAAAAATAATAAGAGTTATTAAAATTTTATAAAAAGGTACATTCAAAAGGATTGAAATTTGGTTTATATGAAGATTGGGGTAATAAAACTTGTGCTGGTTACCCAGGTATTTTGGGTAATGAAGAAATAGATGCCAAAACTTTTGCAGAGTGGGAAGTGGACTACGTCAAATTAGATGGTTGTTATTCAAATATCAGACTCATGGATAAAGGTAAGTTATATTCTAAAAAATATTATGTTTAGTAGTATTAAATTAGTATAATTATATGTTTCTGATCAGGTTATCCTGAATTTGGAAGACTTCTCAATAAAACGGGAAGGCCAATAGTATACTCTTGTAGCTGGCCTGCTTATCAAGAAGAAAAAGGCATGTCGGTATGCTATAAGTTTTTCATATAAGTATAAATTTACCTGTGGATTATTTCGATAACTGAAAAGTTACAAAAAAGGGGTTTGAGTTTTTTTAAAGAAAAGGGTTTTATTATAGCATGTCAAAAAATGACTGGTCTACTTTACCAGAAAAGTATTCTGATATTTCTTACATTTTCAAAGTGTTGATTTGTTATACCTTTGATAATTTATGTTTATTTCTCACTCTTCTAAAAAATAAATGATAAGCAGTCTTTCAATAATTAATATACCAGTTGCACTTTATAATTGTCCATCATTTTAATTCCATAATAAAATATAATAAATTAATTAATTGGGATCTTGGCCCACTGAAAAATTCATTATTAAACTTGTGTAAACTGACAAAATGTGATATTAGTTAGTGATGACGTCACTGGGTGATAAGGTCACTAGGGGTATATAAAGGAGTTTTATCTAGTCGGGGTGTCAGTATGTGTTTAGCGTTGATAATGGTAACATTATTTCCAAAATACGTATCCCCGACTTTTCATTAATTTTTTGGGGCTTTAAGATTAATATTTTTAATATTTTTTAGTTTTTTTAAATTAATAATATTTTTAATATAGTTTTAATTTTACTCCCATAATAAATATGGTGGCAAAAGGTGAGAGATGCATTATCCCTAAGCCCATTGGTTATAGAATTAAATGGAGCAATCATTACTGAAATGATGGACATATAATCTATAATTTTCAAGTTTTCACGTTCAATAATTTAGGAAAATTGAAAAAAAAAAATTTAACACAACATATGAAATGAATCGGACCTAATCAAAACTTAAAATTATAGGATAGAAGAACAGTTACTTAGAATTATTTTTATAATAGACAATATATTTACTAATGGCTTTAAAGGCATCAGGTTTAGTTGATTAAGACCGCTAATATTTTTAAAAGACTGTAAAAACAACAAAATTTCAACCCACATTTTTATTCACTTTCAATTACGGTCATGATTATTTGCTTTACTTTTTTAAATTACTATTTATGTAGATAAATTACGCATTAATGGCTCAACATTGCAATCTTTGGAGGAATTATGATGATATTGATGATTCATGGGATAGTATGATTAAAATAGCTGATTATTTTGCTATGAAACAAGAACTTTGGAGTAGATATGCTGGACCAGGTCATTGGAATGACCCTGATATGGTAATATCATGAATAATTATTACTTTACTTTTAAAATAAAATAAAACTAATTTCATTTTAGCTTTTAATTGGAAATTTTGGTTTATCTTATGAACAAAGCAAAACACAAATGGCTATTTGGGCTGTACTAGCAGCTCCACTTCTTATGTCAAATAAATTATATGATGTTCGACCAGAATTTAAAGCAATATTGCAAAATAAAGACATTATCAAAGTAAATCAGGATCGATTAGGTATACAAGGAACTAGAGTGTTTAGGGTTAGTCTTTATGAAAATAAAATTTATTAGAAAATAACATTTTTAACAAGTTTTTAAATTAATTACAATTTATATTTTAGGATAAAGGTATAGATATGTGGACTAGAAAAATTGAACCTATTCGAAATGGACAATACTCATATGCAGTAGCCTTTGTGAGTAGACGTGTTGATGGTGCTCCATATCCCTACAACATAACTTTACAAGATCTAGGTTTAGTTAATCCAGAAGGCTACACAATAACAGTAAAACCAATACTATATTAAATTTATAATTTATATAACCTATTAACTATATGTTATATAAAATTTAGAATCTATTTGGGCAAAGAAATATATTTAACTGCGTTTTTACTCCAACAATGAATGTTAAAGTTAGAGTGATTCCAAATGGTGAGATATTAATTTTGTCTAAATATATTAATGTAATACATAACTAAAATGTTGACACTTAAAAATTAATTCATCATTCATGATTTTTTAGGAGTAGTATTTTTACGTTTTAATGTGGATGATTCTCAAAAATATTGTGATGAAATCCAGAAAAAAACTCATGTGTTTGTTTGACTTCGAAGTATAAGTAAATTAATATTTAGTATTTAATTAAAATACTCATCAATTTTTAATTGAAAAAAGTAACATAAATGTATTTATAATATTTGTATTTTATTATATAATAACACTTCTTGAGTATAAACATACAACAAAATATATTTTATGAAAAACAAAATCTTAAATAAGTTATACTTTACCATTCAATTTATGATATATTATAAGAATATGTTTCATTGTTGATTGAAATTGATATTATCAATGATCGTACTTGTTTTATATTCCTGGTACATTGAAATTCACCTTCTAGTACATCACCTATGATTAAAAATTCAGTATAACACAAATAAATGCATCGGAAATAGTATTTGTTTTTTTTTCTTTTAAGGCATTTATAGAAAAAAATTGCAAGTATTACAAGTGATTCTCGGAAGATGTGAAAACATATATTTGAGTCTAGCAAAATAAAATGTTAAGTAATAAGTGCGTTTAAAATTTTTAAAAATTATATTATAAAATATAATTTATATATACATACATACATATATATATATATATATATATATATATATATGTATGTATGTAGTAATTTTAACTAGAAATTTTTTTCAAAATGTTGAGGGTAATATCTTCAATAATTATGATTTATGATCTTTTGATAAATTGTTAAGGAAATTTGGTCTAGTAAAAGCTGAGAAAACATTATAATAGTTGGGAGTCATGCTAGAAAATTTTTACTTCCCAAGCGAAGGAAATGTCTAAACACCTAATAAAATGTTTTCACACCAAATAAATTCTAAGAATAAATAAAAAATACATCACCTTTATTTACATTAATTGGGTTGGGTAGAAGAAATATTGTCTGTTTCCAATGGGTTGGAGTACTATGTGGTGCTGTGGTCAGTATGACTGGATTTTCATTGTCAAAAATAGAATCAAAATACCCAACAATGCTAGTTAATGGACATGTTTTTGTAATATTAAGTTTGAAATCTACTTTAAAATTAGTAGAATTTGTGTCACATGTGTACATATCAAATGAGCAAAGTTTAAATTCTTCTGTAACAATTCGATCTGCAGGCACAATGTCGATGTGTGCTTTACTTAAGGTTTCAGTTTTCAATGATGGCATACGAAAACCATAAACATCTGACCAAAAGCCCAAAATTTCATTGTATCTTTCTTAAAATAAATTATTAAAAAATTAAAATAATGTGTAATTACTATATTAAAGTAAGGATAATTTAACCAAGTGACACCAAAGTTGAAGTAAGTATTTGTTTTTAGACAAAAACACTAGCATGTTACTGATATTTTGAACATGTTACTTAGTTCGAAACTGAAAAAATTAATATATCTATAAATATTCTCAATAAGAAATAATCTATGAAAGATATAATACATTTATATTTAAATAAAAAAGTAAATGAAAATAAATATTTTCACAATTCATTAACCAACTCTTTTAACACTGATTAAACTCTAATAAAATACACAAAATAATATTTCTGTAACTGAGAAGCAATAGAAACCCAACCAAGTACTTAAGAAGAAAAAACTATATTATGCCTTATAATAATATTGAAACTGTTATTTTGACTAATATTTCAATAAATATGTATTGCATAGATAAAATTTTATAAAATACACTTGCTGAAATATATACGGGAGTTATAAAAATAAAATTAGGATTCATTAATTTATTAGTAGCAAATTATTATTTTATATTCAGTTACATTAAAAAATTATAGGAAAAATAAAGTGTGTATACTATCTAAGAAAAAAATTTAACCAGTTCATATTTTTCACAATATTAAAAATTAAAATTAATTTTCAATTTTTTATAATTACCAGTATCACTAACACCGCTGATAAATAAATTACATACATTAGGTAACATAATACCATTTTCTTTTAAAAATTTATTACGGGCAAATATTAAACTGTCTAACATTGATTCAAACAGTAAAAAATATCCCATCCATTCAGAGACAATAACATCTATTTTTTCCAATGGTAATTTTATATCTTCTATTCTACCTTTAATAGGAACAATTATATTTTCAAATCCATTTTCCCTACAAATAAAATAATATATTAGTAATAAGTGTTTAGAATAATGCAAAATAATGTTAATCACGTTGATGGCACTCAATTTGTGTATTGATTTCTAAAATATTAGTATAATTAATTTGAATATACGTAATACCTAAAATTATCAATTGCATTATACATGATATCAGCTTCATCAACAGCAAATACTTTAGATGCACGTGCTTTAGCCATGAACATAGACAATATTCCACTACCAGTTCCTAAGTCTAAAACAGTTTTTCCTTCATATGTAGATGTATTTAGTAATATAGCAGAACAATAACTTTGAGTTCTAACTTTATCCTAAAAAATTCATTACGTTCAATTTGTTACATCAACATAAAAATTTAACTAAACATGTAAATTGGCCGTTTTCAACAAATATAATTTTTGAGATATTTTCCTTATTACAGATATTGAGAGGAGTATTTTTTTATTGTAATGCTTCAAGTTATTAAGTAACTTATCTTAAAATATAAAATAACATTACAAATAACATAATTTGTAAAAAAAATGAATAAAAGCTAAGAATATATTTAAGAAATAAAATTAAAGAAAACTAACCCCAAATAGAATTTTGCTAAGCATGTAATAAATAGTAACCATAAGATTAATTTTGAAATACAAAAAGACTTAGATATACTAATTAACTATTTTGGAAAAATTAGAGATTTACAATAAAGTAAAAGTAATTGATTATAATAATTTTCTAAATGTTCAAACCGATTTTAAAAATAATATTTCATTTCAATTTTTATGAGAATCTAGGTAAATTGTTTTACATATTTACATTTTGTATATTTATGCATTTATATTAATTTTTATCTTTTTAACAATATTAATTTGATCTATAAAATTTTTTTTTAATTAAGATTTTCAAATTTTTTTTAATATAGTTATAACTGATGATGAAATAAGACTAAATTAGAAGTTATTATACAATTATAATATACTCAAGGCATAACGTATATTTTTTTTTTTACAATTTATATTGTTTGTAATATATTAGTTTAAAAAAAAAGTTTTATATTATTAAAATATAAGTTAAAGTCCAACCTCGGCTAATAGAATATTTATAAATTAGTTTGAATTAATTTATAACCTTGAGCATTTCAAAATGAATATCAACAGATGAATAAGAACCAAAATAACTTTGATCATCTTCTAAATTAATGGTTGAAGCTGTGTTTATAGAATCTCCTGGCTTAGCTGTTAAAATTTTAGTTAAAGTATTTTTCATTTGAATTATTTGCTCATGAGCATCAGCTAGTTCTTTTTCCTTTACTTCTAGCTAAAAAATGTCCACATAAAATTGTATACTAATAAAAATGTTAAAATTTGATTTAATGTTTTATGTAATACTTGTTTTGTGACTGTTTGTATTTTTTTTTGTATATGGCTAAAATGTTCTGAAGATAAAGTAAACTGATTATTTTCAAAATTTACAGTAAAACCTGATTCAGATTCTTTATCATCTTCAGTAACATCATCAATATCTAAACAAATAAATATTTAATTAATTTGGAATTTTGTTAAATATTTGTTTATTTTTATTCAAGAATAGTACTCAAATATTACAGTTATAGCAAAAGATTAACAAAAAATAATCAGAGATACAAACAAAATAATCAAGTAAAATGTGGAAATTAACTAACATGAAGAACTAATAATTAAATAATAGTGATTTCAAAATAGTTTTGTCATATATCCTTAAATTTTAAAATGTACTTAAGTTAAATTTAGTGGACTTAAAACTAAAACTGTTCATTAAATGGAGTATCCTAGTAACTGGATGATTACTATTAAAAGAAGTGGAGTATGCAGGAATGTAAAACAAAAAATTGTTTCTGGTGGCAAGGATGAGAATTTGGAAAAAAAATATATGTAAAACATCCGCAGCATCAATGCATCCACTAAGAAGAGAATTAGTAAACAATAGATTAGTATTTGTATGGCGAGAAATTAAAGTTTTTATACCTAATACATCATATATAGCAATATAATAATGCAGCTGATATTTTATTTTTAATATTTATACAACATTATAAATTGAACTCGTTCAATGTAAAATTAGTCATAAGGATGCCAAATACACAATAGAACACCATACTCTAAGATGGAATGAACAAGAGCAAAGTAAAGAGTTTTAAAACAAGAAGCAAAAATGATAAACAGGGAAGTGTTACGCTTGAAACTTAAAACTTAAAGATCTATATTAACTATTATATTAATATTATGGTGAAAGGAGAGAGCAGAAGTATAATAAATACCAAAGTCTTTTATACATAAGAAACCATAAAATATTGTACAATTAAGAGAATAGTTGTAAATAATATTATAGTGGATTCTATGAAAATGCATAAAATGAAAATTTGTATGGTCAAGATTTAAGTTTAAATATTGCATCCCCCAGCTACAAAATTTGGTGAGCTTTTATTGAAGAAGGAGATAATTCACTAGAGAATTTACTTTATAAAAAAATTTCATCTGCAAATAAAAGTATTAAAACAAGAAAGAGAAGAATTAACAAAAAGGATAAACAACAGAGAACTAAAGTTCCCACCTTGGGGAATGCCAGAGGGAGTGCTGGACAAGTTAAAAAATACAAATTAACAAATTACTGTTAGTCAGTGAGGTATGATCTTAACCAAGAAAGAAATTGGTTGCCCATACCAAGTTTGTATGATTTATTTATCAGAAGACAATGAATAACAGTACCAATAGCATTAATTAATACTGTGAAAATGGTATTGACTAATTTGTCTTCTTGAAACCTATCAAAGATGTAAAAATTGAAGGCTAAACTATTTGTATTTATAGTAACTAAAACTGTATTGGCTAACAATAATTACATTGTTAAGACTTATATTAACATAATCATAAACAACTGATTCAAAAGATTTAGTAATATGATGCAAAATTAAAATAAGTCTGTAGTTAGAAACATTAAATTAGGAACTATCCAATAGTATGTTAAAGGTAAGTCAGTGGCACCAGAGTCAAAAATAGTCTATGGAAAATCAATTTTTAAATTTTAAAATTGCTACCCATCCCTTAAGAATTGTATAATTTTCTTTTTCATTTCTAATATCTTTCAATAATTAAAAAAAAATTGTTAAGGGCATAAATTCCTTGCCAAAATAAGTAATTTATTGTTAGATGACTTGTTTGGTAATTTAAGATAAAATTGTAGTAGGTATCCAAACATTTTTTAACTTCCAATAAAAAAATGTTAAAAAAAAATTGATAGTTGAATTGGGTTTAATACATTTTACAAAATTTAGTTAACATTTTTTTTTTTCGTTTTGAGTGAACTGTTGCAAAGAGATGATGACAACAGTTACAGACCAGGAGTCATAAAACCTTGGAGTCAAGTTCAAGTTGCTGAAAGAATCGGAGGTTTTAAATTTTAGCCTAAGAAACTTAGCGGTGGTCAGTATGAGAATATTATACAACTCACACAGTTAAATCTGCATCACAGTAAATCAGCAGTGTACTTCTAAGAGCCCTAGTTAAGAGTTTTACTATGCCTTTAAAAATAGTACTTATTCAAGAACCATGATTACTAGGATGATTCTTAGCTACATAAGTTAATTTTTTTGGAAAAAATTCTTTCAATACACTCTCTAGAATTATTCTATCAAGTAAAAAATAATTTGTACAAAATTTGTATGTAGTTAAGTGATGTTCACACATGCCGCAAGAGGGTTGAAAACTTAAGTGTAAGAGTGATTTTTTGATTTTCTAAGAGGGAATTTGTATCATCTGTTTAACCGCTTTTCTATTAATATAGAATTTTTTAATGTAATACATCCAAATGGGCAAGTCTTAAATTAGTTTTAAATTAATATTTTAAACATATTTTTTAATTTTAAATATTTTTCTTGAAATGATTTAAGAAAAAAAAAGGTTTTATCACTCCTGTATTTTATCAGATAAGCGACTATGGAATAAATGTATTTAGTAGCATTTGCTCATATTTATTATTTTATACCAAGTAACAAATTATAATGAACATTTCTAAGTGTGGGGTTGAAGTTTCAAAAAATGAATAATTAGAATTTGATCAAATTATAGTAATTGAAAAATATTGCCAATTAGCAATAGTTGTGAAACAACTCAAACTTTTTCTGCAACCAATTAAAAAATACTAAATTTTATGTTAGAAGTTTCAGTAATTTAGGTTTAATATTTTACGCAAAATAGTCTCAATACAATTTAATTTGTCATTAAATAGTGTATAATTGTCTATTTTATTTGGCCACACCTATAAAATTTTTCTTTTTTTAGTTAGGTCACTATTTTTGCTAATATTACATATACAGAGTAAAACAAATCTAACTAACAACTTTTGACTTATGGTTATACATGGTAAATATACAAATTAATACAGACAAAATAATACAAATTATTAGCATTTTCCAAAATCATTATAATCGTTAAAAATAAACCAGCACAGTGGAGACACCGCATAATTCCAAAAAATTTTAAACAGTGCAAATATTTTTCCTAAAAACATTTATTATTAGTAATCAAATATTATTTAATTTTAATAATTGTTAAAGTAGGGATTTAAATAAACACATTATCCCCTAATATATTACTATACTGTTTAACCTAAAGTACAGTGGACCCCCGGTAATCTGGTTCATGATTAATCCGGCACCCCTTGTAATCCGACATGTCTATTATTATTGGGTATTTTTTTTACAATCTTCGCTAATGTAGATAATGCATGATTGAACAGGTTACAATTGTGCCATCACTATTGTGCTCAAAGTATTGATTCTTTGTTTACTGTTTATTCATTGTGTATTACTTATACGTATCTAGTAAATTATGTCGTCAAAAGCCCAGAATCGAAAGCACAAAACACTTACAATTAAAGAAAAATGTGATATTTTAGACCGTTTAAATCGTAATGAATTTTTTAGTAATTTAGCAAGTGAATACGGCGTAGGCCGATCTACAATTTATGATATAAAATAAATATAGTTAAAAAAACTAAAAAAACACGCTTTTAAAGCACATCGAACTAAAAAGTTAAAAATAATTTTTAAAATAAGCATAAAATAATTATTTTTAACTTTTTAGTTCGATGTGCTTTAAAAGCGTGGTTTTTTAAATTATATTTATTTTTCACTTTTTAGTTTTATGTTATGATAGTAGTTACTATCAATATCATGGTTATAACGGGTAACGGGAAATCAGGGTTCAATTCCGGGNTATTTTTCACTTTTTAGTTTTATGTTATGATAGTAGTTACTATCAATATCATGGTTGTAACGGGTAACGGGAAATCAGGGTTCAATTCCGGAGAGGGAGTCTAAAAACGGCTCCCACATCCAAGGAAAGCAGCAGACGCGTAAATTACCCACTCACGGAACATGGAGATAGTGACTATAACAGGAGAGAAACTTTCTAATGATGCTACCTGCATAGAGCCATTTAAATTAAGATTTTTGCAAAAGGTGAAAGATTTAAATCTTAACCCATCACAAGTGTACAATGCAGACGAATCAGGACTTTTTTGTCGTGTGATACCAAACAAAACTTTCATTTCCTATAACGAAAAATCCGTACCTGGGCGAAAAGTAAGTAAAGAGAGTGTAACCATACTACCATGTGCAAATGCTACATATATGAAAGACTTGGTTTTTGCTCTTTGTTAATCGTGGAATGCATTACCTTCGTCAACTATTATATCGTCTTGGAAAAAGTTATGGCCAGATATAGTCACTGGCCCTAGCAACGATCCACAAATCAGTGTAACTTCGGAAGTAATAGAGAAAGTTGCTGCTGAAACACAGATAAAATCGCAAGATTTGGAAATCTGATACCATGGAATGGGTAAGGAGGAAAATATTTTTTATGAAATGTCTGACGAGATTATAAAAGAGATACTTAGTAATACAATCATAAATCAGGAAGATGACGACGACGTAATTGTAACTACTCCACAAATGATAGCACAAGATGCAGCTAACACCTTTGAACTGGTTTTGCAATGGGCTGAGGAGAATAGTGCATCCTACAACGAACTTTTACTTTTATGAAGATTGAGGGACAGAGCATTGGTCTCGCGTTTCAATAATGTTAAGCACAAAAAAATTGATAAATATTTTCATGCTTCATAAATTCATATCATGATTTTTATTCATATTTTTTGACTATATTAGTATGTACATTTGTTTAAACACAATTACATTGTAATTGTATTCCTTAATGTAAAGTTATTGTTTTTTGTAAGTTCTCTAGCATTAATTACGTAAATTTTATAATAAAACATAAGCTTTATATTGTGTTGTTTAATTTACTTAAGTCGACATACATAATGAAGCATGATTTGTACTTCACACCAGGACCTGTCAAGACCAAATCTTATCTTTGGATTTGTGATTTTTCGGATTACAAGGTACCCTTTTGTAAAAAGTTCCGGACTATAGGAGGTCTAAAGGAATACTTTATAATCCGACAAATTCGATAGATCGACACTGACCTGCAAAACATTTGTCAAATTACCGGGGGTTCACTGTATAGGCATTATATATACAAAAAAAGGAAGTAGAATATTGTAACAGAAAAGTATAAAAATAACATTTTTCATTTAATTTCAGCAACCATTTGTACATAGTGAGGAAAATTTGTTTTTTTAACTTATAGTACAATGATTGACAAAAGATGACTCATACTCCATATCTCAGAGTGTAAAAAATTGACCGACCAAAAATATTTAATACAAGAGTTGTTTTTATTTACATTATTATTTCTGTCTATAGAGAGAAACTGGCTTTATTGTTCACATATAATTGATATTTGATTTACTTATTGGATATTTGAAAATACCAAATTTTATAAGGTGCCACTTTTTATTAGAGTACATATTTAATATATAAATAATAAATTTATATGATGTCTATTTTTAATTTTAATAAACTTATCGACTATGTTTGTTTTTTGTTTTCATAAAAATTTATTTAACCGTCTATCTATTCAAAGATACAAACTAATTTAAAAAGAATAGAGCATTTTCAGAACACTATCAAAAATTAAAAAAGATAATTTTCATGCAATTTTTATAAATATTTGAAATTCTTTTTAGTGAGCAAGTAAAAGATTAAATTTTCAAAATATATGTATCTTATAAGAGAAAAATATTTAAGTATTTATAAAAAATAATTGTTTGATTCATTCTTTTTTCAAAAGTTATGGCAGATTTAAGAAAAAAAGTTTAATCATAATTTACGAATTACTAAGGGTATTGTTTTCAACTAAATTTAATTTATGTATTTTTTTTATGTACTGTTAAGTAAAATTAGTCTAAGACAAAGTTGTAATAAAAACAAAAATAAATAAATAAACTTCATTGTAAAATTAATACCTTCTCAGCTTTGCACCAAAGCTAAAAAATAAAATATAATAAATTTTATAATTTATAAAAGTTGTTAATTAGTTCTGTTTGACTTTGTAATCCAGAAAAATTTAATTGATTAACTTGGTATTTAAAAAAATATTTAGTAACTAGTGCTCTCTAATAATGATTGACAATGAATATAAACAAAAAACTTAGTAAAAGAAAAGAAAAGTGGATGAAAATTTAGTAAAGGAAATTGTTTTATAAAAGTTAAAAATATAAGCAAAAATTTTAAATATAAAATGATTCAAAAGCTTATTGTTGTTTTTTTATTGATACTAATAACAAGATTGTCTTATAAAATACTAGTTAAAATAAGATATAATTAATATAGTCTTTAGAAAACAAATGAATAAAAAGCTTTTAAAAAAAAAAAAAAAAATTAAACATACCAATCATCAACCAAGGATCATCCTTAACAACAGGAGTTAAGTATTTTTCATCACTCCATGGTTGAATTTCACATTCAAATAGATGACTGGGATGGAAATATTCATCTTCTAAGAATTTTGATCTAATATAATTTATAAATTTAATATATGAATAAAAATCCATATTGAATTTATGCTTTAAAGCAGAAAAATCAAAGTTGTGATCATTGGCACAATGAAACATTGCTTCAGAAACATCATCATACAACTGATCACAAAATAAGCATTTTAAATTATTAGGACCATTTTCAACCCAATCACTGAAACTATGATCTGAATCTGAATCCAAAGACATCTAAAAAAATTAATTAAGTATTAATTATGTATTGATAGAAAATCAATTTAATATTAACAATAAGACAGAAATTAAAAATTATTTATCCAATATGCATTATTTTACATGTTTAAAACTAATTTAATTAACAAAAATTGAACATAGTACGACATGTTACATCCATAAAATTTTATTTAAACAACTAACTTTCAAATATAAGTCTCTAAAAGATGAATATATTATACTTCGATATTTCAATCAAGTCACTACGTATGAGAGTAAATAGGGAAAATAATGGAAAAATTATTACGTATATTTAATGAAATTTTTAAAAGAAATAGGTTACTTTATTATTACTCTAAATGATTTAAAACAAAATACAAAGAAAACGATTTTCCAAACATGTTATTAAGGAATACTAACCTAACCTCAATTATACGCAATTTTACATTATGTGTGATATCACTTTAATCAATGAAAGTATACAATTTTATTTTATATTTCCCATAGAGTAATACTATGGTATTGCTCTATTAAAACTAGAGTATTATTCTATATTTCCAAAAAAATGTATTCGTGATTTTACCACAAACATAAATTATAAATTAGATAGCAATACTGGCCATGTTAGCGAGTGAATCCATTTGGGAACCATTTTTTTTTAGGAAAAGTATTATCATTTTTATACTTAATGTCAGTTTTACAGACATGATAAATTACCAAGTAAGATAATAAACAATTATTTACTGATAATAGTTCTTTAAAAGTAAAAACCGCGATATTAAACACTAGTGAGCAACACATAGCCTATCCCAAACTACGATTATAGATAAGACAAGTTACTCAATAAAATGTATTTTGTAAAATCAAAGTGTCACCTGTAATTCTTGTGTGAGTTATACATTTAGCGCTTCTAGCGAGAATTTAGTGAAATTTTCAGTTATCTACTTATTACAATACAAGATATGATACTTTTTGCTTCGATGCGAAGCTGAGTGAGAAGATATTAATTTTACTATGAAGTTTATTTATTTATTTTTGTTTTTATTACAACTTTGTCTTAGACTAATTTTACTTAACAGTACATAAAAAAAATACATAAATTAAATTTAGTTGAAAACAATACCCTTAGTAATTCGTAAATTATGATTAAACTTTTTTTCTTAAATCTGCCATAACTTTTGAAAAAAGAATGAATCAAACAATTATTTATTTTTTTTTTTTTTTTTGTGTCTGTTACCACTTTTTCTCAACTCTCACCGAACTGATTTCTTTCAACAATACGTCAAAAGATCACAAATCGTATCTAGTTGAAGACATTACCCTTAAAAATTGAAAAAAATTCCCTCGTTCCCCGCAAATGGGGGAAATATCCAAAAAAATTACAAATTTAAAAATCGCTAATTTTAATATTCTGGTATGGTTTGATACCCTATTAGGGTAGTACCAATTAATAAAATCATTTCCATGAAAAATATTTCATTTTGCTAATATGTAAGCATATATTTTTGTAAAAATGTATTGAAATTTTGGGTTTGTTTTGTTATCCAAAAAAAAGAAAAATACTCGTAATCTGGGATCTAAAGGGGCTTAGCCCTCCAAATTATGTCCTCATGCTAAAATAACAAAAATTTCATAGAAATTTATATAGAAATATTTTTAAAGATAGTAAAATTAAGTTAGATTACCCAACTTTTTGTTCAAATTACGCCTATGCTGAAAAATGAACAAAAATTAACTAACACTTTAGCTTCGATGCGAACCTAAGGAGGTATTAATGATGTGTTTTTTTTGGTGTCTTACCACTTTTCCTCAGCTTTCACCGATTTCTTTCAACGATACGTCAAAAGATCACAAATCGTATCTAGTCGAAGACATTACCCTCAAAAATTGAAAAAAATTACCTCGTTCCTCGTAAATAGGGGAAATCTCCAAAAAAATTACAAATTTAAAAATCGCTAATTTTTTCAATTTTTTTTACTAAAAACTACCGTAACTTTTTTAAAAATAAACAGATCAATATAATTCTTTTTTTTGTAGATGCATGATGTCTTTACCTATCATTTGGTATATTTTTTTTATAAATCTGACTTTTTACCTGCCTACAGGGGGGGTTTCAAAATGACAACTTTTTCAACTTAAATTTTGAAAGTGTTCCGGAAAGTCTGACACTTTTATATATATCTTAAATTAAAGCTAATGTAATATACTTTATCATGGAAAAAAAAAAATTTCGGACTTTATTTTATCTCCACGGTGAAAATGGCTACCAAATACTATTATTGTGTGAAAATTCTCAATTTTATTTTTTACATTTTTAACTTTATAATGCTATTACTTATTGAAAAGTGTATTGATCAATATAATTTTTTTATGGGAAACACTATTTTTTAATAATCTCTTTTTCATTCGACATACTTTATCTTAATCAAGATATTAATAAGGAACTAGCAGAACATGTAGCTTTTGGAATAATCCACCAATTTTTTAAATTTAAACACTATATAAAGATTTGCATCGAAGCGTTTTTTTTTTTATAGTGATTTTAATCACTATAATGTATTTATCTAAATAATGCCTTTACAATTACCCTACTTCACTCTATGTTGAAAAAGTAATAACATTTTTCAACTTTCTTGTTCATCAGTAAAAATAACAGTTTTAATTAAAAAAAAAAAGCACTATTAATGATTTTTTAAATTGTCATTTTCAATTATAATCCTACAATATTCAAAAAAGTATTACCTGAAATGAAATTACAGTTGTTAAGTAACAAGAAAATAAATTATTTCCATAAATAAAAATATCTATACCGACTAATGTTTGTATTTTAAATTGGAATTCTTAATTGATATTAAAACAAACAGTAAGGTAATAATTATTATATAGGTGATAATATTACCAAAAGTGCTTTATATTAATATATTATATTAATTTAAAATTGTAATATCTACTTTAATGAAAAATGTATTTATATAATCATAAATAATATTAATTTATTCATGTTCTAGAACCTGTTATATCAACAACAAACATAAAACAAATACTCAATAACTTGAAGTAAGTAAACTTACAATAAAGTTTCTATATACAAAAACAATATTTCCAAACCTAGGAAATAAAATTAATTCAGAAAAAATAAAGATATCATAAAAGTTTTAAAATAGGTATTCAAAATATTATTTAGACATACAGTCATTTAATTAAATATTAGAAATAACATTACGTAGAATTAAAATTAAGAAATATCATTTTTTCAAAGTTTTTACTTATCAACCTACTTTATTTTTCAGTTATAATTTGCCCTGCTTTAGAAAATATTCATTTGCAGGGCAACAAATCTTTGTTGTACTTGTTGATTTAATGGTTAATTTGGAAACCATATTTGTTAATTGCGGTGAATCATATGACTGATTTTCCAAATGAGTACAATACTTAAGTAGTGCTCGACTAAATACAATAGATTTTGAAATAGAAACACATTTCTCACTACTTATTTCTACTGTTATTTCCTTAAAATATTTTAATATCTCACATGTTTTCGAAATAATTAGCCAGTTATTATTAGACAAATAAGCATCATAATGGCAATCAAATAATACTGATGATAGAGGAACTTTAAGATCTAGAATACGCTGAAACATCTCAAATGTTGAATTCCAACGAGTGGCAATATCCTGAATCAACATTAAAGGTGGTATTAAGCCTAATTAAATTTGCATATTTTTAAGTTTTTCAGCTGCTTGAGGGCTTCTCTTAAAATGACCTACAATTCCTCTTACTTTATCTCTTATTTCAGATATTGATTTAAAAGCTGCTTGCACCACTAAATTCAAGCTATAAGCATAACAACCTACATTTCTTCACCCACACAAATTAACAGCATTAACTATATTGTGAGCGTTGTCCGTTGTGCATGCAGCAATGCAATTACCTAAGCTCCATTCATTTATAACTGCTAATAAATCATTTTTCAAATTTTCTGATGTATGTGATTCAGAGTTTTAAAACAAGAAAGAAGATATGATTTTAATTGACATTCTTTATCTATAAAATGTCATGTGACAGCAATATAATTTTCATTTTTAACTGAAGTCTAACTATCGGTAGTAATACTAACATATTTAGCATTATTTCTTATGTCTCTTTTTACCTGATCATATAATTCATTGTACATTACAGGTAATAATGACTTTGAAAGAGTTTCTCGATGGAAGTGTGTATCCAGTATTAAGTAATTTTAAAAGTTTGACGAACTCTCCGTCTTCAACGATATTGAAAGGATAGTATTTCTTGACAATCATTTTTAAGACTTGTTGATCAATTGTTTTATGACGTGAGGAACCCAATGGCTTTGAAAAGTATTGAGAAATTGAATTATTTACAAATATAGAATTTTGAGAATGACTAATAACTGCATGTTCATTAGATAAAGAAGATTGAAATGGAATTTCTGAAGACACGGTGGTTTGGCAATTTATGGGATTAGATTTTGAAACAGTTGTACTCTAAAAATATATATGTTTACTATTTAGTAGTATAAATATTTACTTATTTTTCTACTGTTTGTATAAATAAATTAATAATAATCAAATATTAAATATGAGAATAATTTTTATGTTTTTAAATTGAAATTGTAATATATATATGGTAGTCAGATATAAGAATATTTAAAAAGTATACATTTAAATGAAACTTTCCATACTAAAAAAATCTTTTTAGTAAATATTCTTAATTATATAATGATTTAGAGCAGTTAAATTATTAGGTGTATGTATCTTTTTAATGGATTTTGGGTGACATTTATAAATGATGAATTTACAATTATAAATAAGCAATATCCTTTTAATAATAATTAAAGGAAAGTATAAATATTTTAATTCAATTTTAAAAATGAAAAATGATTTAATTGTTTGCTTATTAAAATAAAAATTAATATTAATAATGTGCTTTATTGTTGGCTGTTATGATGGAACTATTTGCTTTGTTGATAATTGTAAAAAATTTCAGTTAGGTAATATTTTTAACTATGTGTATGCCCAGAAAGAAAAGCTTTAAGTTTACTGTACGAAATATTCAATAAGTTTGATAAAGTATTTAAAAATAACTCAATAAAAATGAAGAATTACTAACATGCTATTAGAATTTTACATGTATTTAACACTGTTGTCAATTAGAAGAAGTACTCTCATGAAAAAAAATATGTCTGGTCATCATAATTAATTATGTATATAATATAATGAATTTTTTTTTGCAAAATTAATCTGTCTATAATAGTACTTATCTATAGATTTAATTTACAGAAGTAGAAGTTGATGGAGTAATATTTGGGTCATCAATCGTCTCTTCTATTACATGAGTCTATTTAATAAATTTACTAATGGATGCTTAGATTTAATATGTCTAATTAAATTTGAAGTCGAAGAATGATTATTTTTTAATTTTATACGACAAAGTCCACACTTTACATAAATATTATCTGCTTGAAAAAAATCCCAAATAACACTTGATTTATTCATTTTAAAATGAAATAAAATACCTTTGTTAATTATAAAAAGTGTTTCACAATTTTCGTTTTTGTGTACAAGATTTATTGTAATCACAGGAAACAGCGTTGACACAATGAGAAAATTTTAAATAAATGAGACTAGATTATACATAATACGTCAGTTTTTAGAACAATATTCATTCAAGAATAGACCTGTAATTGCATACACGAAAATTTTGAAATATATGAGAGAAGAGACCTATTTTTCTCACTGCATGCACTAAACATTAAACATTAATAATACCTACATTGTATTTGTATACCTAATTTAACACATAAATAAATCAATGTGTTGATGTTGATAATAAAAAAATAGTGTTTTTAGATTTTAAATTTACTCTTTATTTCAATAATAATTAACAAATTTAAATATAATTAGTAAAAATATTAAACAATTTAATAGAAAAATATTTTATAAATATCAAATAACCAAATGAATTACTTTTTATGTAACTATTGTGGGTATGTATTGAGAATCTAAAATTTTAATAGAAGAAAAAAGGGATCAAACTATTGAATGATTAGAAGTTTTAACTTAAAATTATCTCACTCAACCATCTTATAGGTAAAAATCAGGGTTTGAGGCCCATTATCTCGTAAAATTATTAATTAGTAATAACCAACTACTTTTTCCATAATGTACATACAATTTGAATTTGATTCTCATTTCTTTCGCGCTTTAATTTAATTCCAATATATATATATATAAACAAATAATGAATAAAAAATGATTGATAGCAATATTACATTTCATTTTACAATAGTAGTTAATAAGTAATAATTATTTACAATGAGTAAAATGAATTATTATTCACTTTGTGTAAAACAATAATTCATTGATATTTCATATTTGATATTAATCTAGCTAAGATAATTATTAAGGCGCATTTAGAAGGCACTCTATGAGTATGCCTTGCGAGTTGCGAGTTGTAATTCGCGTTCCACAAACTTCTACAACTCACGAGTCAGAATCGCGCCTTTAAAGATTCGACGATTTGGGAGTTGGGATTTGTAGTTGACTCACTGAGTCAACTCATTTGAGTGAACTGATTCATATCAGAGAGTCAAAAATCCCATCTCTAGTAATATCTACATCTGTGGAATTTACTATTTATTGAAATATCATCATTCAGTTAGAGGATTATTTTTAATTTTATAATTGGAAATGTAGAATATTATCATAATATAATAATTATTTCATGATAAGATGACATGAATTCGTCTTGTGTATCACACTTTTGATCGACTCTATTTGTATTCGATTTGGAATTTCCGGCTGTTTTTTTCCTTCTGATAACAATTTATCAGATTTAATTAAACAATATTTTATAGCTCCTTATATGAATGTATTTTTATTACTCTCTCTGACATAGTTTAAAGTGATATTATATTTAAGTCATAGTTTAATCAGTTTACCATATGGCAAAGTATAGTCGTTTCGGTCAGATTTTTACTGTGGGTGTGAGTGTGGCTTGTGGTAGTTTAGTTACGTATTATGGATTTAACACAGGTGTGTTAATTGATAATAAAGAAAAACAATACTATGATATATTTGAAAACAAAGAATCAAAATGGAATTCTAATTGGGATAGGTAAGATCAATCACCGCTTAGTTTTATTTGAACAATATGCTTCGTAATATTACGTGTTATATGTATTATATTGATTTGTTTGCTTTTGAAACCATTTTTATCTTTATTCATTGTTAGACTATGACTGGGGTATGTTTTAACATTTTCAGGTGTTAATTCTGTATTACAAAAATAACTTTCGAATATTTATTCAAAAATATACAATTGAAATACTAAAATGGACATAAAAAAACGTGTTATTCGGCAACAATCAGCTAAAACTAAAAAAGAAAATATACAAGTAATTGTACGTTGTCGGCCTATGAGTTCTAAAGAAATTTCTAATGGATACTCAGAAGTTGTAAAAATCATTAAAGAAGAAAACTCTGTTGCTGTAGCAGTACCTAAAAATGATGGTTCAGAGTTCAAGCAATTTACATTTGATTCAGTATTTGATTGGAATTCTACTCAAGAAGAGTTGTACAATAAAATGGTTCATCCATTAATTGAGTCGGTTTTAAACGGTTTCAATGCAACTATTTTTGCTTATGGACAAACAGGAACTGGCAAAACTTATACAATGGAAGGTGTAAAAGATGATAATTTTCCCATAGGTGATCAAATAAATCGTGGTATTATTCCTAGGACTTTTGAACAGATTTTTAATAGTATTGAGCTATCAAATAATACAGAGTATTTAGTTTTTTCTTCTTATCTAGAAATATATCAAGAGGAAATAAGAGACCTTTTAGAAGCTAAACCTAAAGGTAAATGTGAACTTCGTGAAGACAAAGATGTTGGTGTTTATGTGAATGATTTGAATAAATATATATGTAAAAATGTCCAAGAAATATTGAAAGTTATGCATGAAGGTAACAAAAATCGAACTGTAGGAGCTACAGATATGAATGAGCATAGTTCAAGGAGTCATGCTATTTTTACAGTTACAGTAGAAATCAAAGTTTCAGCTGAACGAATTAGAGTAGGGAAATTAAATCTTGTTGACTTAGCTGGTAGTGAAAGACAAAGTAAAAGTGGTGCAACTGGTCAAAGACTTAAAGAAGCTGGTAAGATAAATCTTTCTCTATCAACTTTAGGGAATGTTATACATGCATTAGTAGAAGAAAATTCTACACATATTCCTTATAGAGATTCTAAACTTACTAGACTTTTGCAAGACTCATTAGGTGGGAATTCTAAAACATTAATGATCGCTAATATTGGACCTGCCAGTTATAATTGGGATGAGACTCTTACTACTTTACGTTATGCAAACAGAGCAAAAAATATTCATAATGCACCTCATGTTAATGAAGATCCAAAAGATGCTTTAATTAGACAATATCAAGATGAAATATCAAAATTACGTAATATACTTAATGAAAAGTCTTCTAAAAAAACAATAAGAAAAGAAAAAAATTATGATATTGAAAACTTCCAAGAACATACAAAATATTTAGAAAAACAGCAAGAAGACTTGAATGAAAAACGTAACAATATTCTTGAAAATAAAGATAATTTATCGTCTGATGATCAAAATAGAATGTTACATGATATTGAGTTAGAAAAGGCTAAAGTTGCTGGTGAAATGGATTTTATGGCTTCTTTAATAGGAAGAATTCAGTCAATGGAAAGCAGTTTGTTGAGAGGTGGGAAATCAATCACTGATCATTTATACGAACAACAAAGTCAAATAGACAAACGCAACAAAGAAATCCAAGAAGAAATAAGATTAGAACAAGAACTTGCTAAAAATTTGGAAGAAATAGCTGGTTATACAGAGTCAATAAGAGAAACATATTCAACTTTATTAGAAGAAGTAGAATCGAAACAAGGTAAATTTGACAAATTATTTGTACTATATCAAAATCTCAAAGGAGAATTAAAGAAAAAAGAAGAGTATTATTCTATTAAAAGGAGGGAAAATGAGTCAAATCAAGAAGCAATGACTAAACAATTAAAATTAGGTAATATAATTATGTCTAATTTTATTGCACCAGATGAACTTCAAGGTGTCAAAGATAGGTTGATTTATGATGATGATACTCATGAATGGCGTTTAATCAGTAATCAACTAGAAGGACATACTAGGGGTTGTATCAATGGTGTTATTAATTCTAGAAAAAATGAGAATTTAATCACTCTAAATTTACTTACTCTTGAACATAAACTTGAAGAATACAAGAAGCCAGAAATATCCCCATCACTTTTATCTATGCTTGATGAAGCATTGAAAGTAGAAGATGATTTGCAAGTAGATGCATCAATTGCTATTCGCCCAAGAAGTGTTCGCAGTGCAGTTGGACCAAAGATTAAACCAACTACTAGTAGAAATTATCCAAGAGCTCGAGGATTAATACCAAAATAAACTTATAATTTTATTCTAAATATTTTATATTATTCTTTCTAAGTCCTCTTAAAGATAACTGCTAGTTAAAAAATGATAAATACTTTATATGTTTCTTTTTTTACTTTGTTACCTTTACTTATGTTTCTAGTCATATTATTACATGACAACATTTAAGGTTGAATTAGATTTTTTTTTCACAATTAAAAATCATTTATTTTTACTTCATGTCGTCCTTTGCTTCTGAAGCTCTAATATTAACTAATATAGTCATATTGTCTAGTCTTTTGTACACCATAACATACTAATAAAATATATATTTGTTGAATTATATATTGTTTTTAATAACCTATCTTTATTGTATTTATGAAAGTGTGTCAGTGTGTCTTTTCCATTTTAGGATGTTGCCTATTAATCTAGTTAAACCAATGAATATTGAAGATGATAAAGAAAAAAACGAGTACAATAAAAAACTTGAAAGCAAAAAATCCAAAGCAACAAGATATATTTTTCTTATAAGACATGGACAGTATAATCTAAAGGGTGAAACTGATGAAGAAAGAAAATTAACTGAACTAGGTAAATAAAATATAAAGCACATTGTAAGATTTTTTTTTCATATTAAGTGAAATAAAGTATAGATGTTTTTTAGGAAGAAAACAAGCACTTCACACAGGTGAATATTTAAGTGTTTTAAATTATCCATGGACATCTATCACACAATCAACTATGACTCGTGCAGTAGAAACTTGTTCATTGATCCAGAAGCATTTATCACCAGATATACCCATAAGCTCAACTGACTTGCTTAGAGAAGGAGCACCAATACCACCAGATCCTCCTAGCAAGCATTGGAAACCTGATTTATATGTTAGTAAATAATTATTTTTATTAAATTACCAACATATGTAAATTATTGTACTTTAGCAGTTTTACCAAGATGGAGCTCGTATTGAAGCTGCTTTCAGAAAATTTATTCATAGAGCTCCTCCTTATCAAAAAGAAGATTCATATGAAATAATTGTTTGCCATGCTAATGTTATAAGATATTTTGTAATGAGGTAAATTAATCAGTTATTCTTGCTATCAGTTATTTATACTTTTTTTTACAGTTTATTTTAATGACTTGGCAATGCTAAATCAACTAATCTAAGTTTTTAAGATTCTCTTTTTCTTCTTCCTTGCCTTAATCCCAACTACTTGGGGAAGGCCACCCTTATCCTAAGCTTCCACTTGACACGATCTCCCTCATCTTCTATGCTCACATCAGCTGTCCACAAATCGCATTCAATAACATCCCTCAATCTCCTTTTTGGTCTTCCTCTACCTCTTCTTGCTTCAAAATTCATTTCTATAACTGTTCTTACAGCTTCTCATTCTTCTCTCATAACATGACTAAACCATCTAAGTCTATTTTCTCTCATCTTATCCACGATTGGCGCTACACCTATACTTTCTCTTATATGCTCGTTTCTTATTCTATCTTTTCTAGTCACTCCACGCATCCATCTAAGCATTCTCACCTCTGCTTCACTCATTGTCTGTTCTAATTTCTTATCAACCACTCTGAACCATACATCATAGCTGGCCTTATTACAGTCTTGTAGAATTTACCTTTCAGCCTTATTGGAATTCTTTTATCGCATAACACATTAGACGCTTCTCTCCACTTCAACCACCCGCACTTAATTCTGTGTCTTACATCCTCGTCAATACCACCACTCTTGCACAACTGACCCTAAATACTTAAAACTCTCCACCTCTCCAATCACGTCCTCGCCTATTGTTACTGAACACATTTCACCTACCTCGTGTTCAAACTCGTACTCTATATACTTTGTTTTACTTCTACTTATTCTTAAACCCTTTTCTTCAAGAGCTGATTGCCACACCTCTAGCCTTTGATTAATTTCCTCCCTATTTTCTCCTATTAACACTATATCAGCAAACAACATGCACCACGGCACCTTTCCTTGTATTTCTCTAGTAATTTCATCCATCACTATAGAGAATAAGTAAGGGCTTAAATCAGAACCTTGGTGCACCCCTACTCTTACCCGAAAATCTGATACTCCTCCTACGCATTTTACCCTGGTACAAGTGCCATCATACATATTTTGTATTATATTAATGTACCTTTTCGGGACTCCTTTTTTAATTAATGCCCACTTTAAAACCTCTCTTGATACTCTGTCATAGGCTTTCTTCAAATCTATAAATACCATACACAGCTTTTTCTTCTTTTCCCTAAACTTTTCTATTAGTTACCTCACACAAAATACTGGCTCCATTGTTGACTTACCAGGCATAAATCCAAAGTGGTTTTTAGATACCAATGTCTCATTTCTTATTCTCTTATCTATTACCTTTTCCCAAATTTTCTTACTATGACTCATAAGCTTTATGCCTCTATAATTTCCACATTCCTGTATGTCTCCTTTACTTTTAAATATCAGCACCACAATACTATTCCTCCATTCATTTGGAATTTTCCCTTCTAATAAGATTCTATTTAAAAGTTCCTTCAACACCGCCTAATATTTTCCATACTTCTACTGGCATTTCATCTGGTCCTACTGCTTTATTCTTTTTCATTGATGCCACAGCCTCCCATACCTCTTTCTCACTAATTAAATCTACCAGTCCCTCATTCCAAGAGATATTCTCTAATGAACTCCTCATTCAATAATTTTTTAAAATACTCTTTCCCCCTTTTTTTCACATCATCACTCGAGAGTACCTTATTATCAACACTTTTTATACACCTTATATAATGATAATCTTTAGACTTTTTCTCATTTCTTTGCAAGTCTATAGATTTCTTTTTTGCCTTCCTTTGTTCCTAGCCTATCATACAACTCATCATAACTCTTAAACTTCACCTTACTTACTGCACACTTAGCTTCTTTGTACAAGCGTTAATACTCCATCCAGTCTTCTCTCCTTTTGCTCTTCTGCCATACTTTGAGTTGCTTTTTCTTATTTTCTATGGTTTTTTGAACGTCCTCATCCCACCACCAGGTTTCCTTGTTTCCTGGCATTCTACTTCTACTCACACCAACAATCTCCTTTGCAGTATTCTTTACACAACTAGCAAATCTATTCCACACATCATTTATTTTTCCCTCGACATTCCACACCTTCCTCTCTTTTACCGTCTTTACAAACTCTTTCATTTTCCACTTTCAATTTCCACCACCGGATCTTCAATTTTTTCCTCGTGTTTCTTCTATTTTTGTTTATTCTCTTTACGATACATCACAACTCCATTACCATCAGTCTATGTTATGAAGTTACGCTCTCGCCTGGTATAACTTTACAATCTTTACGCTCTCTCTATTCCACATAAAATAATCGATCTGTGATCTATTCCTCCCACTCTTATATGTTATATAATATTCTTCCCTCTTTCTAAAATAAGTATTAACCACAGCAAGATTATACCAAATTTTTAAGATTAGAGAAGAATTTTTTTTCTACTTATAAAATACATAAATATTAACCAAACTACATAAAAAAAAAAATTTTAAGCTTACTTGAGACCGACTAGAAATATACCATATAATAAAGCTAATTATGATATTCACGCTATCAATTTTCGACTTAAAATTTTTAAACTAAAAAATTTGTATTCTACAGCAAAAATCAAACTATTTTGAGATATACTAATCATAATATTTGACAAAAAATTTCAATCACAGAGGCCGTTTTTGGGGGCATTTGTGGTCAAAATACTAAAAAATTTTTTTAAAAACATCAAATTTTCACAAAATGCCTATTTTAATGTATATAATAAAGTTAAAATGGTTCTCATTAAAATTTCGAAGATTGACTTTTTTTGATCCACCCTAATATATACATATTAATTGAAAATTCAAAGTATTATAATTAGTTAAGAGTTAACAGTATAGTTTAGTAATGAAATTAATATTTTTAATACATTTTAGAGCACTTCAATTGCCACCTGAAGCTTGGCTGCGTTTAAGCTTAGATCATGCGAGTATAACCTCTCTTTCTATCTATCCTAATGGTCGAGTAGCACTTCGTTGGTATAGTAACTCTGGATATATGCCACCTGATTCAATAAGTCATTGAAAAATGTTTGTATGTATAGATATTCATTTGATAAAGTTATGTAATTAAGTATTATTTTTGGTAAAAAAAAAAAGGATACTTTAAATTAAAAAAAAAATTATGTTTTGGTAAAATATTTGTCTGAAATAGTAATGGAAACTTTTTCAATAAAAAATAAATTTTTTTTGTATTTCATCAATCATTATTGAAGTTTTTTTAATTATGTAATTTTTTGCATACTTTACATTTAAGTGATCTATATTTTTCATAGTAGTTTTATGTATAAAGTTGAATCTCATTTACTCACACTTGTTCCTTTAAAAACTTGTATGTACTAAATAAGGTGCATAGGCGGGATAGTAATAGTAATTAAATAATCCATCTGTTGGGATGTTAGGAAATTCATCTGGCCTAACCTAAGTAAAACATAGACGAATCAATTTTTTTAAATATTCTATCCTAAAACACTTATTAAAAATCTGATTCAAAACTCAAATATAGCAAAGAATGACTGATCAAGATGTCATCAAATATAACCAGTATACAACATCAAACTAGATTTATTTGGATAATCTAAGAAACCAAGATATTAAAAAAACAGATATCAAATATTTTCTATCTGACTAATAATCACCTAAAAGCTTAGATGATTATTTTTCATTAATAATTTTTATATGTTTCATCCACATTGGATTTTACATTATATTATGGCAACATACTAATATTTTTTTATTGATGAAGATTTTTTTTTATATTCTATACTGTTGGAAAAAAGTAAATTTTTTGTATTTACATGATGTGTAATGACTTATCTTAGTTAAATTAAATTATTTTATGAAAATGTAATAAATCTGCACAGAGCCTGAGCTAAGTTTAGAAAGCTCATGAATGTATTTTATTGGAAAAGAATTGCTTTCGTTTTTTGTTACAACAAGGAATTTCATAAAATAGTTTAAAGGTCCACAAATGAAATAGATTTAACTGAAAATTCTCCTAATTTTTGATATAATTTAAATTTTGCTGTAATTTATTTATTTTTAACAATTTTTACATATGTAGTCTATGTTAGAAGCATATTTTTTATTATTTGTTTTTAGTTTTAAAATTTCAAAATAATTGTTTTTTAAGACATCTGAGTACTAACCATGTTTTAATAAAAAAAACAACCACTTTTTATTCCAACAGTACAATGAAAATACTGTTGTGATAAGAATTTTGAAAATATATTTGAATTTAACTTACTTCATGTCAATTGAGGATTGTTCAAAACACTTTTTAAAATTTTTGTTTCCTTCAACCCCTAAATACAGGTTTAATTTTAAAAAATCCTCATTTATTTAAATTAACTAACACCTTAATAAGTTAAGTATTTTAATAATTTTCACTTTGGGTTCACAAAAGTCAAATTGTATTAATGTATAACATTTTAAAAAAAGAACAATAAATTAATCTTCATATATCAGAGTATATGTACCTTAAAAAATAAAAATATACTTCAATAGTATAATTTTTAGAACCTTCAAAGTGCTCATTTAAATAAATTAAAAACTTAGTTAATTTATAAATTTGTAGATAATCTCTTTTAAATAAATTATTTTAACAGATTAACATTAGATCGTAAATAAATAAATATTTAATAAGTTTAGAACATAGATAGAAGATCTAATGCTGTAATAAGTTTAAACAACTATATCAAGTTATAATTTATAATATCTATTGAGCAAATTTATTCTTTTATTTATAAAGGCTTATAAATCCTGGTGCAAGTGATGTCATTTACAGTTAAAACCTAAAAATAATAATAAAATTACTTTCTTAAGTTATTTTTGCTTTTAATACAATTTTTCTTACCATCTTAAGTTCGTCAGGTTTGAACTCTCTGATTATTGTTGTTTCTAACTTGTCACTTTTTTGTTTGTGCACTAAAGTATTTCCATCTTGTGTAATAATTGATCTGACTTTACGACCGTCGGGAGTTTCTTCATCAAATTCTTCACCTAATTTAAATACAGTCGCCGTGTTTTTGAAAGTTGAATTTGAAGTTAAGGTATACTTTTCATCGTCATTTTTTGTAAGTTCGACAACTGGAGATATACAGTTACCCATTTTCCGTGTAAGTATACCAACACCTATANTTTTTTTTTTTTTGTGTCTGTTACCACTTTTTCTCAGCTCTCACCGAACCGATTTCTTTCAATGATACGTCAAAAGATCACAAATCGTATCTAGTCGAAGACATTACCCTCAAAAATTGAAAAAAATTCCCTCGTTCCCCGTAAATGGGGAAAACCTCCAAAAAAATTACGAATTTAAAAATCGCTAATTTTCGAGATTTTTTCAATTTTTTTTACTTAAAATTGCATAACTTTTTTAAAAATAACCAAAACAATATAGATTTTTTTTATATAGATGCATGATATCATTACCTTTCATTTGGTATATTTTTTTCATAAATTTAACCCTTAACCTGCCCACAAGGGGGGATTTAAAATGACAACTTTTTCACAAAAAATTAATTTTTTTAACTTAAATTTTGAAAATGTTCCGGAAGGTCTGACACTTTTATATATATCTTAAATTAAAGCTAATGTAATATGCTTTATCATGAAAAAAAAAAATTTCGGACTTTATCTTATCTTCATGGTGAAAATGGCTACCGAATGCTATTTTTGTGTGAAAATTTTCGATTTTGTATTTTCCATTTTTAACTTTATTATGCTATAACTTTTTGAAAAATGTATGAATCATTACAATTTTTTTATGAGAAGTAGTATTTATATAGATCTTTCATTCGACATACTGTTTTTTTAAATCGGACCATTTCCCTAAATACAGGGGGGATTCAAAACATAAAAATGCATATAGAAAGTAGAACTTTTTCAACTAAACTTTTGAAAGTGTTCCGGAAAGTCTAACACTTTTATATATATCTTAAATTAAAGCTTATGTAATATACTTTATTATGGAAAAAAAAATTTCGGACTTTATTTTATCTTCA